CTTGATACGTGCTTAATACTGATGTGTTAATGAGTATTAACAAATTCAAAATGAATTTTGTACTTAAGAGCTCAAAGCTTGTGATATAAGCAGAAAATGTGTCAGCTTACTCAAATGCTTAATATTTCAGTTTTCAGAGTTGTGGAATAAGACTTATTTTCCTGTTTAGGGCTGTGATTTGTAGGAGCTTTGCTGGAAATTAGCCAGTGTAGCAGGTTAGTTGTATTTAAAAGTGCCTTATTGTGAGGAATTGTTTGCACTGTAATATAAACTTCCTCCCCTATAACTTAAAAAAAAAAAAAAAAAAAAAAAAAAAGGCTGGGAGAATTTCTTTTTCTTTCTTTTTTTCTTTCATTTTGTTTGGTTTTGCCCACTGCAGTTTTGTGTTTTAAGAAGGGTAAGTAAATTAGCCAGAGATTTATCAAATGTTTCAAATTATAAAATGTCTTTATATAAAATCATAAGAAATCTAAAAAAGCAAGACCTGTTTTTTTCTAGAACTGTGGGAATTATTTTATGGTATTTTTCACAATAAAGATATTTATGATGACAAGATATGCTACAGTGTCCTTACTTCTCCTTCCTTCCCCATCCCACTCTAAAAACTCCACTAGAAAACCATCTCAGGCAGCTCCTACAGAAGTTGGTAGTCTTTAAGAAGAAAAATACAAGGGGAAGAAGCATTTCTCTTTCATATTTTTCTGTTTCTGAAGTCAGCCGTGCTCTAGTTGAGCAGGAAAGAGCTCGTGCCAGTATCTGGGAGCAGACCTTTCTTCTGCAGCTGAACAGGCAGCATTTGAACAGCTCTTGGCCTTGCACCTCCTGTTCCTCTGTGCGGGGCATGAGGGAAAGCGAGCTCYCTGGATGTAGGTTGAGTGGTGTGGATTTTCTGTTTGTTTTGTGTTTTTGCATTTCATTTAGTTTTTTTAAATGGAAGCCTTGCTCTCRAGGCTCCCTGGAGCACCTCGCCCCGGTTCCTAGTGCTCTGCACCRCAGGGAATCGCTGCCTCCTTCCTCGCACCACCCACTGGAGGCGAAGGTGGGAGCTGAGGGTGCCCAGGGATGAGGAGAACCCTTCCACCAAGGATCGTGGATCTGGGGAATGATCCTAGCTGAGTGAAGAAACACGTAATAAAAGGTTGTGGGATGTTGGAGCCTGTGAGAGCTCCACATAAACCCCCAGCTCTAGGACTATTGGAAGGTGGGATCACAGACCCTGCCCTYCAGGCTTCTGCTCGCTCTTCACCGCGTGTTTTCACAAGTTTCATGACCTTAGGTCTCCCTGAGGCCTGGAAAAGGAGCTGCAGCCGGAGTGAGACCTTCGTGTCGCATCTTCAGGCTGTTTTGCCCTTGAGAAATAACGAGGGTGGCTTTTGCCATCAGKTCTGTGCTGAAGCGCGAGGTGCCTCCTTTGCACTGCAGGGCAGGGGTGGGAAGGGAGCCCTTGTTAACGATGAGGAGTTTTTGCTGTGGCCAAGGCTGGCTTCAACAGCAGAGGGGAAGTGGCGGGGCTGGAAAGGGCACTGCTGGGCTCTGAACAGGCCTGCCCTCCTCCTGCCCCACGGGGCTCAACCCCCCCGGGTGACCCTGTTGGAGAATGAGCCTCCTCGCGGCTGCTGTAACGAAGCCACTGAGAACTTGGGCTGGTCGCCACGTGTGACCCTGGTGCAGCCCCAGGGGGGCTAAAGCTGCGTCTCACCAGTGGGGTCTAGAGGACAGTCCTGCCTCGAGGCGCCTAATGCACGGAGAGACGCTAGGGGTGAGSGTGAAACACGTGCAGGGGCTCCTAGCAGTCCTCATAACGTGAGCGCTATGGTCGTGGTACCATCCCAGCCTCTTCCTAGTAATTTTTAGGACTTACGAGTTGAAAATAGCTTAGATTGCATGCTGCCCTATGTGTGTGTATATGTATAGCCTAGGAGAACYAAAAATGACCTGTGAGAACCTAAAAAATGACAAGGTCTGTAAGGGCCCACAAACGGTGGCAGGTGGGAGTCAGGGCAGCAGCTCCAGAGACAGGRAAAGCCTGAGGGGAAGGGAGACTTCTTGGCATGGCTTCCCGTCTGTCTCCAGAGGGGTGAAACGCCTGGGGTTGATCCTGGGGCTGGGGAGGGAGCTGCACAAGGTCTGGGGRGTGGTTTGGGGGCCTTGGCCTCCAGCAGAGCAGGAACCCAACCACAGAGAGGCAGGGGGCAACCTCAGGCCCAGAAACTGGGAGACAGGGCGGGTGGGAACATCTGGCATGGGCACATGGGAATATCTGGCACAGGCAGGTGGGAACATCTGGCACAGGATGGTGGGAACATCTGGCATGGGCACATGGGAATATCTGGCACAGGCAGGTGGGAGCATCTGGCTGCTCTTCTGCGGGGCTTGTCCTTCTGACGGGCGGCCTCCCTGCAGCTCGGAGAAAGGTGCCTCTCCTGCCGCATCCTCTGAGCGCTGAGGGCATTTCTTCTCTTCCTGCAGGTAAAACAAATCGTCACTGGCTGCTTCACCGGACAGATGCTTGCTATAAAGTAGCTCACGTTAAGGGTTGGCAAAGTTGTAAAGAATTGAAAGCCCAGTGTTATTATAGAGCCCCCGTGTTCGGGAAGCAGTAAATGGCAGCAGAACGGCGTTTGAATGAGCAGCCCAGGCCCCAGCAAACACCACTGCTAACCCGTGTTACGTGTGCTCAAGTGGACACAGGTAAGGGTGAATTTAAGGAAGATACTTCATGCTACAGGGGTTACGATTCAGCTCCACTGTGTCTCATCATGTTACTCCATGTCTATTAACAACAGAACTTCTATCCTTTCCCCTCTGGAAGTAAAAAGGAGCTGAGGTGACGGGACTACTTTGCTAAGGCCATTGAGAAGCGGGAAGAGGTGACACCTGGCTGAAGAAGCCACTGTCCCTCTGCCCTGTGAGGCAGGGGTGGCTTTCCTCCCTCCACCTGCTCTGCTCTGATGAAGGCACAAACCTTCACAGGATGGTTGAGGTTGGACGGGACCCCTAGAGATCACCAAGTCCAACCCCCTGCTCCAGCAGAGCTGGCGACATYGCCATGCAGCTCCCTCCTATCCACCTGGGATGGGAAACTCCAAATCATGGTACAGCAGCCTGGGAGGGTTAGATGAAACTAGACTAAATTTCATTTATAGTCATCCCTGCTCTGTGGGAAAGGAGAAGAATCATCAGATAAAAACTGTGAAATGAGCACAGTATTTGATTAACTTTTAGTGTGCGTCTCTTTTTMAAAAAAAAAAAAAAMAAAAAAAAAAAAMAAAMAAAAAAACAAACAAAAAAACCCTCATGGGAAGATGCAGCAGGGTTATTTTTTTTCCCTTTCCTTTTAATGCCAGCCCAATATAAACAATTTTCACGGCTTTATAGCGGCCCTTTCCAGCCCATCTGCCCGCGCTCACTTTGCAGGTGCGGGAGCCGAAACGCGGTGCTCCATGGGCGCGTTTGTCACGGGAGGAGAGGCGGATTCTGTGGGGGCCCCTCGCAGCCCCTGGCGCTCGCTGTGGGCTGAGGAGCCGCCGGCCGTTTCCCTTGGAGAAGGGAGGATCCTGGAGATCAGCGGAGCGGGGTGAGGGGGCAGCAGGGCCACAACGAGGGAGCAGCTTGTGGCCTTCAGAGGGGAGGCCACAAACACGGGGGGACTCCAGCGCCCAGGGGCTGCCGAGTGTTGGCAGGAGCGRCGAGGAACCGTCTCTCTCGATGGATGTGCCACTTGGTCAATGACACCAAGTGTCCCAAGGACATGGAGCCCAGCCCCACTGCGCTGAGCCATGGGGTGCGTGAGGGCCGAGCGGGCAGCACCGGCCGGTGCAGTGGGTGGCGGAAGGTGCTTTGCAGCATCGCCCCGCCCCGCTTTAGGACACAGAGAGGCCAGGGGCCATCCCCCCGGCCCAGCACCTCACTGCTGCTGCACGTGTGAGCGCCACGGCCAGCCCCACGGGCAGCGGCTCCGCCTCGCGGGGGCACTAGGCCTTGCCAGGCTCGCAACGCTGTGGGAGCCCCACYGCTGGATTAAACCAGCCAAGCACTTGAGCCCATGTGGTAAGATCAGCTATTGGCTGCTGTTCCCTCAGCAAACACTTCAGCACTTCCCCTAGATTGTGCTGTGCCGGCTTAAACCTAGATGTCAAGCTGTTAGGTCATCACCAGCAGAGCACAACTAGGGAAAATGGAATCAGCTATGGAGCTTGGAAAGCTAAATCCTCAGGAAAGCAGGAATTGGACTTAAAACAAGGGTAAAATAACCCTTACTGAGAAATACTTCTTTTGATACAGAAATCTATCCTTTCACCAACACTGAGCTACTGCCTGCTTGCTTCATTTTCTTTCCCAAAAGGGATGGAGAAGAAAGTTTATGAGTTGTCATCAAGAACAAACCCTGGAGAAGCCACTGAAATAGTGATCTGAATACAACGGCCAACATCTCTTCCTTTGCACGGGCGACCAGAATGTCTGTGCTGCTGCTGCGCTGGTTTCCAGCAGGCCCATCCATCCTCCAGCTGCTCTCTCATCCCTTTCCGAGGGCAGAGCCCACAAATTTGAAACAAGACATCAGCCTCCTCTGCCTCTCCGTGGCCTCACCCTACGCTAGGTTTTAGTTGGGAAGATTGCAGCTGCATCCCAGCATAAATAACTTCGGATTAAAGACATTTGAGGAATTGCTGCAATTTTTTCTTGGGTTTGTTAACCAGGCATTTAATGTTTATTGTTTAATATAAAATACGAGAACAAAAAAAAAAAGGTTGAACAAAAGGGTTTTTTTYCCCTCTCCAGTAGCTGCTTTAATATTTTGTACAACATTCACAATCCATCTTTTATTATTAAAAATATAATGATATACTAATTGTTCAAAGTGCACATTATTCAAACACCTATTTGAAAAGCAGTTAATATATAAGCTGGACCTCTCTGCTTTATTAACCAACACATCATTTAAAAAAAAAACCCAACATTCCTTGAAAATATAACTATTATGTGGAAAAAACCCTATAAAACATTTTTACAAACATATACAACACTGTAGAAAATGCCATGAAATCTTTTAAATCTTCCAAGTTTCTCCAACAAATTACATTCCTCATAAATTATATTCTAATTGTTTAAATAATCGAAAGGAAATTGGTTTTTTTTTTAAGGAGACAGCTCCTTTTAAAGCATGTAGAAGTAATCAGATCTCAAATAGAAGGACAGGATGGTACAGGAAAAATGAACTTGAAATCACTGCATAAGTTATCCCCATCTTTTATACTGCACATGAGAAGTTTCCCACACAGCTGGTCATAATTAGAGGTATCTTATGGATACTGAGCCTTTAACTTCTGGTTGAAAAGAGTTTTCCAATGTAAACTGTAAGRATGAAACTCCAAGACATCCATGTGGCAAACTGCTGTAAATTAAGCCCCAGAGTGTAAGGGCAGGGTAACAAAACCAGACCCAGCAAGCAGCTGACTCATGTTTTCTTTTTCCTCTTTATATATACGGGGCATCAGTTGTCATCTTGCCACACACTGCACTTATGGTAACTGAGCACGTATCTGCTCAGTCTCCTATATGCCCATCTGTGTGTTACAAAATATACCAACTTTAAGCATATGTTTCATGTTTCACTCACGGCCTGATATTCTTAAGCAGCATTGTGCTGGAGAAGACGTGCAGCAAGACAGACCCTGCAGGGAACTGGGAAACTGCGGAGGGCTGGAGCGAGCAGGACCTGGCYGCAGGGAACATTTCACAGGGTGTTTCTGGCAAAGAAAACGTCCACCAAAGCGGCCTGTCTGAACACACAGGGGTCACATTCACGCTGTGTTATTCAAAAATTTAAGGCTAAAAGGCATAAATGTAATCCAGAGACGAGAATAAAATGCAGTAAAGAATCTGCATGTTACAAAGACTGGACACATTTCTGCAAAGCACGGTTGTAAAGCATTTCTCTTAGCGCAAGCAGTTTTAAATAGCCCACGTGTGGGAACAATGTCAGTGCATGCAGAAGTGCTTCATTTTTCCTGTGATTTATTCGGTTATTGGGAAGCATGTAAATATTATGAAACTGATGGAGAGGGTCAGTGATCACCGAGCATTGATGKAGATGGCATCTGCTCCGTGCAAACCGTGTCCCCGTCGCCTCCAGCTACGCACGGTCAGATGGAAAGCTGCAACCCACGTGTTCTTAAAAGGATCTGTGCCGAGATCCAGGCTGCTTTGAAAACAGGAGGCCTGAACAACCGTGTGTTTAAGACACTGCATTTCAATTCAATAAATTGCCTRTTTTCAAATATGAAAACTGGAAGAACTTACTTCTTGCCTGCAGGCGGCCCACTAGATCAAGTTATGTGAGGACATATGTATAAAATTACAGTAAGCATCATCAGTAGGCAGAATCCATCAAGAATTTTATTATTTTATTTCAAATTCAAAACAGAATCGCGATGATTGAAATGGAGTGGAAACAACTTGCAGGTACTGACTGTTAGAGAAGGAAAATATAAAACAAGAAATTAGGAAGGATACTCTGTACTGTTTCAAAAATCAAGTACAGGGGCATTTGTCTCTTCCTTTCATTTAAAGTTTATAAATAACTTTATAAGTTATAAAATATTTGACTTCATATTGAAGAATGTTAAAAACAACMGCATCACTGTAATATTCACATCTGCCCTTCAGTCTTCCACAGAAGACTCCTGCGCTGTCACCGTTGCTGTTTACAGGTGATGCTAAAGTTCATCGTGCTTAAAACCTGTAACCAAAAATAAAAACAATTGTATAAGAGACAACGACCAGTTTTGCTTATTTCTGAGGACTTCAGCTTCTTCTGAAAGGAGTTAGGAATAAAATATTCCAGTCTGCCCATGGAAACGTTCTGCTGCTCTCCTGTGCGTGGCTGCAGCATTCCCAGGTGCAGCGCAGAGATCTGCCTGCTTCTATCCCGGGGAGAAGGTGCCTGTTTGAGGCCACGTTATAATAAATGTATCAGGAAATTCCAGCTCGGGGAAGCGCTGCGGCCCTCCCAGGTATTCCCACCAGTGTTTCCCAGTGATCCCTGYCTGGAAACGTCCCAGTTCCTGCTCTCAGTCCCCCTGCTCTGGTCCAGGTGACACGGAGAGGAAAAGGGCCCAAGTGCTCCTGGTTTGGGGGGCTCTCAGCAGAGCACATGGGGTGACAGGAGGGAAARTGGGACTGGAGACGGATAGAGCAAACCTGGAACCTGTGCCTGAAAACAGAAAAATTCCTGGGAAAGGAGATGGTGACAGGGATGTTTCTGGAGGGGGTGAGAATCAGAGGGAGCTCCCTGTTTGGGCAGGGAGACCAGGACTGTGAGGCTGTGACAAGGTGAAGGGGACACCTCGGCCCCCACGGGGAAGGGGAGCTGAGGCAAACCAGCAGGAATCAACAACTGCCACACTTACCTGAATAGTTCAATACTTGGCAGTTCTTGGCGTTTTATTTTAGAAATCTCTCMTATTTTATAAATGAATTATGCACTGGGTTAACAGGACTGAGACACGTGGACAAGAGCAGCAAACTACGAGCTATACGAGCAGCGAATTAAACAAGGGGCTTTCAAGCAAGTTTCCAGCAGGAAGATTTCATGCTATAAGTAYTGCCGAATTCATAGAGATGAACTGGGGAGCCACCTTTTTGAACAACTTTCTGTGAACTAAYGGTCATTAAATTTCAATATAGACTCCATAATCTACTGCCTGGCAGACTGCTCGAGTTAAAACACATTAGGCTTAGGCCTCATGATGCAAAGCTCTTGTACTTTATATTTAATACTTGCTGACCAAACCACATGGAGTAGTTGGTTGTGTTTGTYGTCTATAGATATACCCAGACAAGAACTTTGTTCTCTTAGATTTCAGCATGAAACAAAATATTTTATACTCCTAGTGTAATTCTTGCGTAGAAAAGCATCATATGACTCCTAAAAACACTCTCTAAGAGCAGGGAAAATGACACGAATACAATAATAAGACATGAGTACTGACCACTATCTTCATTTCAATCGTATAAGTAATTATTTTAAATAGATGAATATGCACATAAATTACCTTTTTGAAAGAGCGATGTTTGATTTTTATTCTCCAGGGCAATTTTTTCTATTAACTTCCGTATCTCGGCGTCGTACTCAACCCACTCGGGAACTATCCTGGCAGCCGCCTGCAGTTTGGGCTCTTTGGTTTGGGGATTGTTGCACTGAAAGTTAGAAATGCATCATGTGTAAATACAACAAAGGTGAAAACAGCCCCTTTCCGAGGGGCTGTTCCAAGGGCCAAAGGAGAAGGGCTTCCTCCTTCCCAGGTGGGCACAGTGCTCCCGACACTCCCTGCTCCGCGTTGCGGTGCCCACMACACGGGCTCCCTCGAGCACCCGGCGGGCGGCAGCAGCGCCCGACRCTCGCGGGGACCCGGGCGCTGGCTCTGCTGCAGGAGGCTCCATGGGGAAGCAAACCAAGGGAAGAGCCACGTGCAGATACATGTGAAACCCCCCCCGTTTGGGGTACAACACAGCCAGCAGCATTTAGTTTTTTGGTACAGTTTTCAGGTTCAGCTTAAGTAAACTTGGTCACACAACAGCATGAGGGAGAGGCCTCAGGACAGGAGACAACCTGTTTCATGAACCTCTCTACTGATGCATTTATCTCAATGGATCTTGTGTCCCAGTGAGGCTGAGTCCATGACGACATTACACATATGTAAATCTCAAAAGCCAGAGCAATTATAGCCAAGGTTTTAATCTATAAAAGACATTAAACTTAAAAATCAACTCACCARGTCTATCGTTTTGGCCTTTTTCTTGGATTCATCATCACACCAGGTCTCACACCAAAGCCACTCTTGAGGGAGAGACTTAATAGCTACTTGATGAATCATATTGTTGGGCAGGTCCTGTACAGATTTTGTAAAATGGTAAGTTAAGTTAGCACTGGATTGTGRTGGAACTGATTGATTATCAAGAGCTGATCTGCAGTCCAACTGCTTAGAGGAAACTCCAGAGAGCATCTATCATCATTTCTGCAAAGTCTCCTCACATTGCCTTCTACATGCTCGGCATGCTCTACATCTTTTTCAGGTAGATTGAAAATGGATAATATTTTGTGGCCAATTCCACCTCTTATTTCTCAAGTTCATTTATTTTTTTTTCTCATACTTATGTCAAGCTAAGACAGACATAAAGTAATAGTACTGTTATATTAAGACAGGCAACATCTGAACCGAAGCACTACTCGACAGAATTAAACAGCGTGAAATTATTAAAGCACAAATGTGACCACCCTGCTGTTCCTCAGCTCTGCCAGAACAGCTCAAACGCAGATATCCTAGGATTCGGTCACCACTCTACACTTAGACTTCTTTTAGTCCAAAGAGTTCCTTTCTTTTAGGAAAACAGTTTCTCAAAATACAAACGTGAAAAGGAAAAGCCATTAAAGCCACTATTCTGGCTTGCTCACTTTAGATGTTCTTGTTTTGCACCTCCGTTATACAGTGAGGTACTCTCAGTATGTGAAAGGTTGATCAAAACACCAAACTTAAATCCATACATGCTGATGTAGGGAGTAGCATTTAAAACTAAACATAATTCACAGGCAAACTACTCTGCATGCAGTCTGGCCACCACTAAGAATAATACAGGTGTACTTGGTGCATTCGTACATCAGCTTCTTTACATGCACAACCCCTGTATTATATTTACAAAATATCAGCACCCAAAGACATCCTAGTCATGTCTCTTCTTTTTTTTTTGGTCAATTCACATTATAAAAATGGCAGAATACTATATATATATATATATATATATATATATATATATAGATGCATTATAAGTAGCATATAATTTAAATACAAAAATAGAAATACTGAATTATTTTGACTTGAAAACCAAAAAAAAACCCCCAACTATCAGTAATCTGAGAATCAAGTCATTTAAACATTAACTTAGATTTCTGAAAACCCTCCATGCATTTTACACAGCTAAAATAAATAGTTTATCATCCTCTCAATTCCTAGAAAGAAGAGACTTTTGTTCTCTTGCTTTCTAAATGAAACCGCAGTTCCTGAGTTAGCAGAGTAAGTAGCTTTTGAATTTACAAATTGTTATATGGAATAAAAAGCAAAAAAAAAAAAACAAAACAAAACAAAAAAAAAAACCCAAAAAAACCCCTGCTACTAACTCTAGAGTTTAAAGAAAATAGAAGCAAATATGCTTAGAAAAAATAGATGCTTCTCCTTTCAAAAAAGTGCTCTCTCATGTAAAGGGCAACTCGGCCACGTTGCCTTCCTGAAAAGCCTGGAGCCCTCCATGGCCACGTTCCAGTCATGGGAGCTGTCCCACCATGTCCCAGTGACTGCAATGAGATCATGGCCCTGCAAGCACACACTCATCTCCATGTGTTTACATAGAGGCATTTGAGCTGGGCTCCCAATCTCCTCTCATTCCAGCTGGGGCAGCTGCAACTGCCTGTGTGGGGCCTGGAAYAGTTCTCTTATTTTGCCATTGAGCCTCTCCAGGCTTTGGGCTCCCTGCACAGGCCTTGGAGTGAGGCTCCATAATCCAGTGCACCTCAAGATAAGTCAGAAAACAAAATAAAACTTTCTGACTGAACCCATGTGTACCTGATCTAGGTTGGACAGACTGTTTGGATCTTGGCTAAGAGCCTGGTACTGGCCCCGAAGCCTGTCTCCTGCTGCAATCTTCCTGAACTTCTTCAGATCCACGACATACAAGGCACTACGAGGAGAGAGAGGAGAGAAAAAAAAAAAAGCACTTTCATGTTTTCCTCAATAACTTTAATAAAATAAATGATGAGAAACCAATATGGCCCACATGTTAAAAGCATTTGATTTTATGTAAATAGGCAAAAGTATTATCAAATCAGTGTATCATCTGAATTCATCCCTTAGCTTCAGATCTATTATAATGCAATTGCTTCGAATGCCACAGTGATCATAAATAACCTTTTAACAATGTCAAAAGCTGAAAAAAAAAAAAAAAAATTATCTAGGTGTTTTCCTACCTAATGTGGTATTTCCTTTTCCCAAGATGCGAGGCCCAGTATCCCGATTTCCAGAAGCGGTACCCATCCATTTCCGTGCGGCTGTCACAGAACGGAGTGTATCCATAGGGAGCTCCGTTCAGATTCAGATCTCTGAGTTCCTTTAGGTCACTTCGCACAATCTAAATAAAAGAAAACCTGCATTAACTTTTGTAATTTTTCATGTGTATAAAGAATGCCTGTGGCATTTCTGCTGCTTAATTTTCATTTTTAAAAAAATCTAAGAAACTGCTCACTATTCCATGAGCAAGCAACTTAATTACTATTCAGTTAAAAAAAAATGTTTATTCTGTTGCCATCTGTGGATCATACTCAATAAGCAGATTAAATAAAACATCATATTTTTCACTTACAGAKCACAGTTTTTGGCTTGTACAGTACTCCTTGATGTATAATTTTCAGAAACTACTGAGCATCTCCCTTCTAAAAAAAGTTAYGTGAACTTGGGCACTCAAAGATTAAGGCATCCAAATGGTTTAACACTTTTAACAATCTTTGGGCCCCTTTCAGATGCCACAGACCCCCGCGGGGGCCTTTGTCTCTGCAGTGCCACCAGAGGCCACCTGGGGCAACCAGGTGAGATGTCACTTCCAACTGCTGCATGACTGAAGACAGGTGAGGTGACGTGGTCCATGTCATGCATCACTACTGCCTCTGCCCACACAACTGCACGAGGCTTAGGAGACTTCGATGCAGCCACCACAGGGAATAAACCTGGAGCAATTTAACCTCCCCAAAAAACCAACCAACCAACCAACCAAAAAAACCTGGACACGTTTATACAATATTATTTTTTCTTACCTGATCAGCATCAACAAATATTATTTTATCCACAGCCAAGGGGAAAAGAACATCCAAAAAAAGAATTTTGTAGCCCCAGATAATTCTTTGCTTTTCTGTCTGTTGATAAAGCCAGCGGGGCCACTTGTACTGTACTAACTCATACTTGAATCCGTACTTCTTAGCCATGTGAGGGATAACTTCCTAGGAGAAGATCCAAAAAATTAGTTGCACGTGCATGAGACAAGYAAACACTTAAAGGGAAAAGGAGAAAACGCTGTAGAACAGTTGCAGCTCTGCTGACCCTATGGATTGCATGAGTCATTCTTTTAAAATATTTCTCTAGCTCTAGCACTATCCTCAACTTCATAAATGAAAAATCATTTATTTCAAACTAATAAAAATCTGTCAGAAAATAATGAATTATTTTTGGAATATATTATTATTATTATTATATACCACTGAGCTTTGGGTCCCAGAAAAGAAGAACTTTACTCCTGAGAATTTTAAAAGTGTCTATCAGTATTTAATACAATCAGAGACAATTTCCAACTGTGAACATTTACTTTTTAATTACATAATTATTCAACTCTAATAACTTTCTATATAACTATTGAGAATTAGTAAGAAAAAATGACAAAGGGAAGACATTTCTTGTACCTTGAACGTTGGGGAGAGATAGTTTTTCAGAAACCAAAATTTAACCGGTGTTTTTGTATGGCGCAGAACAGAAAGCATCATTATTCTGTGAAAACATAAGTCTATAATAAACAAATACACATCTTTATATTTCACCTATACCTAAAAAGGTGCTAAAGCTTTCTAATTATAATGTGTGCTATCCTAGTTCAATCAGCAATTTCTGTTTTTAATAAATGCTTTAAAAAGGGTGTGCATTCAACACCACTTTGTCAGATTTATTTGACCCACRCTGGCTAATCAATATTAGAAGAAACACTTTTTAAAGTGGATCTGCGAATAAGTTTATTTCTAAGACAGATGCCTACCAGAAATAAAATAATRATTAATACCATATGTTAACTTGGCTACTGAGATAATTTAAGAAATTTCTGAGAAACCACTGATAAATGTTAAGAAACTCTAAGTATGTGGAAAAAAGTTAAATAATGATGCTGGGTTCTCTTTTCTCACAAGTGTAGCATTTGCTGGAATAACTAGATAAGCAACACCTTAAGAACCATAGGAGGAGATTAAACCTGCTTTAAAAAACAAGGAATAATGTATCTTGAAATAAAGCAGCATGGAGAATGTTTTAGCATTAATATTTGTCTCCTTTAAAATAAAGGAGTCTTTTCCCTTATGGAGGTTGTCGTGGGTAGCTTATCAAAGACTCSCAGAGGAAACAACAATGAATATTCAAAGTCAGACCTACAAAGAAATAAAGATTAAACGTACAGAATTCTGCTTTCCAAATAAGCATGCATCAAAGAGTTGTGAAATTCCATTTCAGGGTAAGAAAATCACTAAATCTGACACCTGTGCAGAAACACAGAAATCAGAAAAGTAACAAGAGATACAACTGGGAACAGACCAGACTCCACYGTGAAAGCTCCTTCAAGGCAATCACTGTCTAGGGAATCACTCACTGAGATATAAGCAAGGTCATGTATGTGTGTATATTAGTGTTCACAGTTTGGACCAGACATAAGCAGAGAGAACTCTAAAGAGATCAGTAGGGCTGCAGCTTCATGAAGTGGCCCTACTTCGTCCTCTGTGTTCACATGAATCCATGTACTCATGGAAAGCACAAGGAATATTTTCCKTTCTCCAAAAAGAGAATGATATATTTAAACATCTATATGCTCTACCACTTGGTCTTCAAAGAAAGCTGATCTTAGTCCTCACTCTATACAATTTTTCTGCATTTTAACAATCTGTTTCTTATGCTTTGTTAAATAAATTACCTTTTTAAAGCAACTTAATTTTACCATGAACATCTACAGTTTTCTCTGAAAATCTATTTCCCTTTTCTTACCTTAAAAAACGTTCATATAAATGGCCTGAAGCAACTGAAAAAATATTAAGAATATCACTTCTCTTTTCCATCTCTTCTGTTGGAATTTCTCCTGAAAAACTGAAAGAAACACACAAAAAAGAAACCCAAATTATGAAAGTAGACATTATGCAGAAACAATATACTATGCCACTATTATTCAGCTTGTAAAGAATCAAAATACAGAGACTATACAAAACTAACACTCTACAGTAACTGAATAAAAGTATATTCCACTTCCACTGTGTGTGCCTGTAACACTGGCATCTGGTGCTGGAAACACCACCTCTCTGAGCATATCAGCCACTCAGGACAAATCATGGAACAGCTGCAATTCTTTTTTCCTATCCAACAGAATCCGAATTGACAAGTGCTCATGAATTTTAAAGCGAATTTTAAAATAACAATTATTTTTTGAGATCCATTTGTGTTTCCTTTCACAAGAACCAATACATTTCACCCAGGCTGTTTCTTCATGGCCAAGTAATCACACCAGGATTTCCAGCAGTGGTTGATCTGAATGATGATGGGTGAAAACATGCTCAGAAACACAGGCCAGACACTGTGCAGAGGGCCACCCCAGGCATGGTCTCAGATTTAGTGATCAACCTCTTGTGTATGGTTAAGGACGTATCCTTAACCATATCCTGTGCAAGAACTAGTTTTTTCTTTTTTAATATTCTTGCTGAATTCTTCCACGACTTTGTCCATTTACTCTCCGTSTAGTTACTGCAGATATTTGAGGTCAGGTTTAAGTTAAGTACAGACGCCCACGACAGCTTTGTATTTCACAGCATCCTGCAGAAGCGAACGTCATGTTGGAGTCAGCAAGCGTGGGTGGCTGTTTCCTGGGACCTGCACAGCAGCCTGGAAAGGCAGCCTTGTACTGAAGGTGTTTGCAGCCTAAGAATGCAACCCCCAGGGCTGTGTGTGGAAACAAGGTCCTGCAAGGTAAGAGCCAAAAAGGAGGCTTCAAGGTCCTGAAGAGGCATTAGAGTTGTCACATTGAAAGAGCAGCTGAATTTAATCCARAATACTGGCAACATAATAAATACCCAAGCTCATATTTCTTCAGCACTAAGCAATACTGAGGACAAAAGACTCAGCAATTCATTGGGAATTCAAGCCAGTGCTTCATGCCCTCCTCCTTTGAACCAGAGAACCTTATCTTCTGGGGACACTGCTTGTGTAGGATGCCTCTCAAGAGCTGTGACGAAGGAAGGTTAGGGAAGCATCCAAGACACTGCTTCCCAGAGGCACTGGTAAAATGGCATCTCACTGAAAGACTCCTGTGGGATAACTAATGTGCCTAGGAAACACTCCTGGCTTCTCATCCACAGCCGGGATGCAGTAGCCTACTACAAAAAGAAGTCATGCTATTTTTTTTTCTTTTTTGGGTAACAAAGATATAATATTTTCTCTTTTTTTTCCCATAACTTTACTCTAAAAATGATTTAAGAATTTCATGACCATTTTTATTTTTGAAATACAAWTTGAATTCCAATTAAAAAGCATCAGTCCAAAACAGACAACAGAATTCTGAGCATTGTGAGCACCTGAAAGCAAAGGTTTACAACAGTGTAACATACATGAAATACTGCAATGTCACTAACCCCAAATAATAATTACATGCTTTAAACTTGCTTGGTGTATTTATTATAAGAATTTATAATAAAGGCAAACTTTAAAGGAAAAGGTATCTGAGTGATAAACATGAAAACATTTCTTGAGCTTTCATGAATTATATAGCAGCATCATAGCCTGCTTTTCAATGTTCCAATTTGCTTCATCTGACTACCACATAAGTGGCTGAGATTTTCCTACTGAGATTGATTCCCTGACACAACAAAATAAAACTGATTTTGGTCTATAAAATGAACAACAAGTAGAAATGGCAGAGAGGGACAAAAGAAGAACTAACTAATGAGATAGACCAGACATTACAGTTTGCCTTTTTGACATTTATGTCTATTATAAATCCCTCAGGGTATCACAGAGCCTTTTTTACATATTTTGATTACCATCAATTATAGCACACTTACGTTATTCATAATAATAAACACTTCCTGGCACGCTTAAAGTATAAGCAAATTATTCCCTACCTTGTAACTGAGTCGAAATGTCCTTTCTCTGCTGTTACGTCGTCAGTAAGGAGCTCTTCATTCACTTTATCAGACTTTTTTTGTACCTAGTTATTAAAATAAATGGATTCACATAATTTTCCAAGTTAGCTGAAAATTCTTACTTCAGTTGCGATATCTAATTCTGGTACTCTTACTGGTTAGCTGAACTACAACTTACCAGCTCCTATTTCAGCAGAATAATTACAGAACTGCGTTGAAACAAACTCTCAAATTATTACTTTATATTTTAAAGTAATTTTTATAGAACTTACTGCAAAGAGAAGCAAAGTAATCAATTACAAGAGACTAAATGGAGATTCCTATCTCAAATAAAATGGCATGTTCAAGCCCTCTGTACTTCTTCATTCAAGGAATAACTAAAGTTATGCCCAGCTGTGGCTCTTTTTCCTCTTTGGTGAAAGATGAACTCCGGATTTTTTGATCCACCATCGGTCGACAGCGGGAAGGTGGAAGGGTGTTGCACCATGCAAGGAACTTGGGAGAAGGGGATTTGCCTGTTCACAAGAATGGGWTAAATCTGTCACTGTCCCATATAATGGGATATCCCATATTATGGGATTTTTGCTGTTTTACACTGATACTTACTAAAGGCTCCAAATTAAAAGATATTTTATTGAAACTCAAATAGCTTTTGGGGTTGGAATATATTCAGTTCTACTCATATTATTTTCGTTTGTGTATCCTGTCAGGTTAATGCAAATATTTCTATTCATGCTAAGTCGTGTGTCTTTTTAGCTAATGCTTTTGAAGGCACAGTCTAAATATGGCTGAAGTGATTCTATAGCTCAAATAAATGTAAATTGGACACAATATAGCATATTTTTGTTGTTAGCTTAACAAGCACGACTTTATGCTTGAAATRCTTATCCTATTTTCATCCCAATGGTATCCCTTTACCTTTTCTCTGTGGCCCTGCAGGCCTCACAGAAGGTTACATACTTTTTCATGATTCTGGAAACCTTCAGTTATAGGAGTGGGAAAGAGATTAGGAAAGATAAGTTTTGTTTTGTTTAATTTCCTCTTTGTATTTATGGTTTACACCATTTTCTCTCCATCTCACAGTCTAAAATCAGGATATAATGTGTCAAGTGCAATGATGCAAAAATTTTTACCAAAAAAAAAAAAGTCAGAAAACACGTAATCCTGTGAGGTTCTTTCTCCTTAAAATACCTTATTTTTCATTATCTATTTTTAAAGTACCATTACACAACAGAATGCCATTTACCTAAACTTAGTAACTTACCGTAGAAGTTAGTGGGTGTAATTTTAGCTTCCAAAAACTTGAGCATCTTCCTTTAACACCCCCCCTCCACCCCCTAGTCACTGGAAAGCACTGGGTGGTTCTGGATGGGGTTTGGCCCCCTGACTTTAAATACATATTTAAGACAGGATGAACAGTCCTTTGGTCTGTCCTCCTCACACTAACCACAAAAGGACAAGGCAGGAGGACAAGGCAACTAGTCCAGACTATGCATTACTGCTTAGACAGACACATCGAGAGTTTAAGCTAGATGAGATGAATCCTATCCACGCTATGCACAAAAATGTATATTTTAACAACACAATTATTAACAACTATTTAATGACTTCCCATGCAAGCTGTATAACCTTACTAGATTAAATTCCATGAATTCCCACTCCCTTCTCTATTTAATTATAGAATATATAAGTAATATATTGCAGTATGCATGTTCCAATTAAACATAGCCTAAGACATGTGAGCATTATTCACTCTTCACACAAAGAAACAGTGCAGACAGAAAGGATCTCTTTACATACTTGGACTTTGATGATCTTGCTTCTGAAGCTGTTTAACACCACAATAACATCTGCCAGGTCAGCTACAGAATCTGTTCCTTCATGCCTGTGAGGGGAAAAGCACCATGCAAACATCCTGACTCATTTACACATACATTAGCACTTGTGCTTAATTGCAGTATAAGGTCGAGCAYTGTTGATATTTACTGAAAGGAAATGTCTTCACTGGCACCTAATTATATCTTAACCTTAGAACTCTTCTGAGTTACACTCATCACTAGACAGCGCTCACAGTTACAGCCCTCRCTTTTTAATTTGGAGTTTTTACAGGAAATTTCATCAACGAGCCAAGGAAAATCAGACAGCTAAAGCTGTGTATCATACGCATAGCATTTTTATTATATTAAMAATAGATTTATGCTAAAATATATTCAATAAATACTAAAAAATTAAACATATTTAATTGGATTTTCAAACATGAAAACCATACGTGCTCCAGGCATGACTGCACTCCTGCCAAAGCCCAAGTCACACGACAGAAAGGCCACCGAGAAAGAGCCACAAGAAATGCTGCCCTCGCCCTCCTGTTCAGAGTAATAAACTTGCCAAATCCCACAGGTTTTGCATCTCAAAAGCTCATCTGTTTTCCCTTATATCATCTTCTGGTTTTTACCAGTATTAGCTTTCACTTGCTCTAAGTAAATACCAGTCTCAAAGTAATCTGCTGGCCCTTAGTCTTTTTCCTTAGAAAAGAGAACTATTCAAATTTTGCTTCATTACATTTCATGGTACTTACTTAAAAAATAACAGGATTTGATATATTTACGCCCTTTTTCTAATTATTTTTTGTGACACATGCCTACCATCTCTGAGTTTCAAGGAGAGGGCTGATTCTTATGCAACATTATCTTGACCTCTCCAGGCTCTTAGTTATATTTTCACATTTTTWAAATATTGCATACACAAACACTGTGGCCAAGAACTGTCTTTTTATCACAGTGAAATATAGTACTAAAGCCAAAAGGGTAAAGATCACAGTTTTAAATAAACTATGTGATAACAAGCTCTAAAAATGGTAAAATGAGAGCCAGACACAAACTGCTTTTTGCAAGGCAAGCAGCTGTCAGAATTTTAAAGACTGCTCTCATTTTTATTATCATTTTTTCCACCATTTTTTTCTACTGCTCACCAATTTACTCCAAAATCTCTATGTCCTGGATGTAGGTAACTCTGTAGTTTTAAGTATGAATATAATTTTCCAAAGTTTTAAAAATATTTTCTGAAAACAATTTCTTTGACCATAAATTTTGTAACTTAGTGATTAAATAGTTTGATTTAGTGGTCAAATAGTTTAATTTTGTGACTAAATAGCTTAAGTTGTGTCCCTAAATCTCTTCACTCAATCCCTTACTGTCAAATCCATCAACTCTGTTTTCACTCAGTTCAATGGATTTCCGGCCTAATAGGAGCAATGTAATGAAGACAATGACAGTTAAATTTGCTACCCTGGATAGTTAATCCTGGTCTCCAGATCCAACTTTTCCAGGTCCAATCTTTTTCTGCAAATACATCTCTGTATTCTTCCTATTATTACACTATGGTAACAGCTTTTCCTGTGCAAGTTTGTCTCTCCATTTACGTAGTCTGCATAACATATATCCACATTTTTTTGTTGTTGTTCAAAATGAAAATTCAGTAAGAGCTTCTGTACATGCTCTTATTATAAATATTTTTTGCTAAGTCTTAATTTTTGTGATACTTACCTAAGTTTTCCTACCAACACTACAGAGTCAAGCTCAAATAATATGCAGCACTGAAACACTACTGCAGACTCTACAAATTTTAATATTCCTATCATCAGAGTGATTTATTAATTACAAATGCATCTACAAGTATAATTGCTGTAAACGAAAGATCTTTGTTATAAGTAGTGTTTGGAAGAAAAAAAAAGCTTATTCCAAAGGCTATTTGCGTAGACAATGAATAAATTACCTCGCTATTAGTTGCTAAAATGAGAGAAGCACCATATGCCTTGAGGTGTGATACATGCTGGGACTTCATAATCCTATTTTACTCCTAAAACTCCTACAAGAAAGTACAAGCCTGAGCTTCAAAGAGAACAGGTTATCTTACAGTTTAATGGGAGGGTATTACTTGTACAGAAGAACAGAGAATATCTTCATATCCTGCCTCTTGGTTAAAATTAATGAATCAAATAGTTGCTTGAGTTCTGGTAACATTTTGATGTTACTGATATTGACATCATTAACACAACTCCCAGACATAGCTTAGCTGTTGCATTCTAAGCTATGGTTTGTCATACTCAAATGAAATAAAACAGCTATACTGAAATAAAACAAAACAACTATACTGATACGGTTATCTCTACTCAGAACCAGAACCTGACTAACAACAGTTTTAGGCCAGAATCACAGGTAAAATTTCACAGCTCAAGCAAGCCTGGTCTTGGAACCTCTGAATTTGTGACTCCAGCCATAAATAAAATTTTGTTACAGTATTTAGAATATCAGGAATAGAGTTTGACTCCCATYACATATGATCTGTTTTACCAACCCATTTATAAGATATATGCACGTATTCTCAAGACAAGTTACAACTTACGAAAAAACCTGATAAACCTCCTCGGATCTTCCTTTACGCAATCTCAGAGTCCAAGCACCTGGATTTGCTTTCAGCTGAAAATATCCCTATGAAGAAAGGGAACAGAAAATTACAAAAACTGTTAATTCTTCAGAATCAACCACAGACACATGCAAACATCAACCAGCCACTAGCTAGTCCTGCAGCCAAGTTATTAACCTAATGCCATGCCAGCCTAGAAAGGGATGCAGCCGAGTATCATCTTTCCTTTATGTTTATATCAAATGTCTTGGTGCTCCCAGATAAGCCAAGGGATGGAATGAGAAGAAGCTTAAAGAGTTTTTCCTTCAAAAAAGAGCAGTGTCAGAGATTTGTATTTGCTGGAAAGTGCCTCGAACTGCAACCAGCATAGGCAGTCATCTCAAAGCAGGGAATATCTTACTCTGAGTAAATCTAATCATTAAACTATTCATTATCACTTCAGCTGCAGCGCTGGGTTGGTCRAGCAGCACATACACAAGAGCTAGAATGCTGTGAGTAGGACAGAATTCCTGTGAAGCACATCGTGATCTCTTATGCTAAAGCTTTTTTTGTTTGTTTTCTTTTTTTCCTTTTTTATGTCCCCCAAAACCTAACTGGGTTGGAGCTGCATTTTTCACTGTAAATTTTTCTTACTCTGAACCACCTTTTTTAATCTCTTTTACTCCCAAAACTATATGATAATGCTGTTCCAGTGCTTATAATTCCTATTCTTTACCTTAAGCAAGAACAGAAAGCAAAGTTTTCAATAATTCTAAGAAACATGCATTTCACGCAAAACCAAAGGAAACAAATATTTAACTCTTACGACACCTTGTCCAAATACTGATCATTTTTTTGCAGGAAAAATGTAGCACACCTTAGTGTTTCCTGGGGAATCTCACACTACCACAGAATCACAGGATGGCTGCAGTTGGGAGGGACCCCTAGAGACCACCCAGTCCAACCCCCCTGCTCCAGCAGGGACACCCAGAGCACGGGGCACAGGGCGGCATCCAGGCGGCTTGGGAAGATCTCCAGAGAAGGAGACTCCACAGCCTCCCTGGGCAGCCTGTGCCAGGACTCTGGCACCATCACAGATCACCTAGCACAAATGCTCAGGTTTTCTTACATGGAGCTTCTGAAAAATTATATTTATAAGCTGGGTATTTCTGAACAGGACACAAGCACGAGTTTACTATCTGTGCTATATTATCAGGCTACTAACAACAAAAACTATTACTTTGAATGACCAGAGGAATTCTCAGGCATGGATTGGTCCCACTGATGCCTTAAACACTTGATTGAGGCAACCAAAACAGTTGCTTTCTTTGCCTGGACCCCTGCATGACAAAAATGGTTACCTTAAACAGAATATAATTCATACTTTATGTTTGTTGGTGGAACCTCCATCTGAAGATATCCAGCCTCTATCATCAACTTAAGGCAACTAGACTGCTATTTTAGTTACTTCAGTTAAGGGTCTAAAACTTTGTCAAACCCATATTGGATCAGAACAGGAAAAAGACTCAGAAAAACAGAGATATACTTTTTCTTCTGTAGAAGATCTCAATTCTGGAATAACTCACGTTACTTTTAACATTTCTAATTTGCAAAATAGAGGAGCAGAATTACAGAAGAATCTCAAAGAATTTTCATGAAGAGTGGGCAACTGGAATGACTATCTCTGTACTTAGTACTTACCAGATTGGCCATCACTATCGTATCGACCATGACAGGGTTGTTCTTCGTGCCCAAGGTGAACTGCAAGCCCCGAGGAGGCTGCCCGGTCGTCACATCGAAGCAGTGTCCTTCAAGCAGCAGATTTTCCAGTTCATATTCTGCTATCACGTTCCCTTTTATCTGCAGGAGGAAGAACAGTTAACCACTTAAATGTGTATTTTAACTCAGTGAAAGAGCAATGTATTACAACCACAGATATGCTGAGTAGAATTTATCTCAACTAACCTAAATTGGCAAAAAGAGAAAGCCCCTTCCAGGGGGAAATTCACTCAGTTTTACAATTTGTATTCAAGACAGAAAGGACCAACCACTCTGTATGTAAGTGCCTTCCACTCTACATTGACTATTAGACTCTCTGCTTTGATAAATCCCAATCTTTGATTTTACAATACACTAAGTGCACACTTTTGATGGATTAAATACTTTCAATATTTTGTGTAAGTTTCAAGATTGGAACAAGTTTAGTGACTTTGATGCTGAAGAATTAAAAACATACTAGGAAAAATCCTGCATTAAAAAGGTCGAATGTACTTTAATGCATATTAAAATACAACAACATATTTAGATTTATTTGGAAATCTACCTAGACCAACAGTACTAGTACCAAAAATTAAATATTAAAAATTCAAAGGAAATAGAAAACTAGCACATGACACACTTTAATTGCTCAGAAGTGGAAAAATTTCATATACATTATAAATCTCAGCACAGAAGATAAGCTGTGCTACTTCTATTCTGCTTTCTGATGTTTATTATTTCACTGCTTTTCTTTCACACTTATTTTCAGGAGAGTTAACGTAAAGAAAGATGATGAAATTAAAAAACAGACCGACCAAATAATCAATTACCACAGTAAGCACTTCTGGAAGACAGAGACAAAAATCCCCAAAGATTTCCTTTACCCTTTTGATGTAAAAGATCCAAATAAGTCTTACCATGCTTACAAATTTGTACTTACATCCTGCAAGTGGATGTTATCAAGATCACAGGAACTGTTCACTGCTTCAACCAACCAGCTCTCAGGAGTGATCATATTTAAAGTCAAAAGGGGTGACTCTGGCAATTCCAGGAATTTGGCCACAGGTTCAGAAGGAAGGTGGTTGTTGATTCCGTAAGTTAATTCCGGTTCCAGAACAAAGCGATAGAAGCTGCTCAAAACAGAAGTGTTCAAAAATACATTTATTGAAGTATGAAGGCTAAGTTCCAAGTACAAAGTCTTTCACAAGTATTTTTAATTATATTGAACATTTACCAAATATTTAACAAATTAGTAACATTTAGGGGCATGGTACTTCTTTGCTTACTTACTTCCTTGAAGCATACCATCAAACAATACCTATATCTCAAATACAGTAACAATTAAGGAGAACTTCATATGGGGAAAAAAAAAGAACATGTAATTATTAAAAAAAAATGTAAATTCAGTATCCATGACYAGGAGGAAGAACATTTTCCCACTATGAACTCGGACTAAGTGTATATGGCTGTATTTTTGGATATATTTTAGTTGCAAACACTGCTGTATGAAAAATTCCAACCATCCACAAGGCAGGGACCAGAACATTTCCCAAGCACACRGAAAGAACCAGGCATTAAAAGCTAGCCACGTGGCTCAAAGCGCTTTAGTAATATTCAACATATACTTAAATAAAGTAACTACTACAACAAATGAATGAGAATTCTAAGCCACTTTTTATTTTTAAGGGCATACCTGTTGTTAAGGCTTTGTTTTTCTAAGCCACGTGCAAGAGCAGCTCTAATCTACTCACCTCTTCAGTGGCACTTCCGACAGCTTGGATCTGCAGTTCAGAAACAACCGGAGTCTCATATTTATAACATCTTTGAGCACCTACAGAAAAACATTCCATGTAAAAATGGTTCTCGGTAATTACCCAATTTTAAAAATAAGCCAAAGCTGACCCCGTGATAAACCTTTTTGTCATTTCTCAAGCTTCAGTAGATATTTCAAACATTTTGAAGTTCTACATGTATCTGCATATCACGGGATGTTGCCAGATTTTTCAAATAAAGATTTGACCTTTTCTAAAACTGCGATTTAGCATATGATATTCTTAGTATTCACAATACTATTTTTTTTCTACTGCTGATATTGTATTTTAAAGAGCAGCTATCCCCATCTTCCAGTGTATAGGTAAGTTGTTATATTATTTAAAACAATGATTTTAACTCCTCCTAAATTGTTGTATATTTTAAACTCTTGAAAACAGTAAAGTTCAGAGAATTATTTTAATAATGTCAGCATTATTAATGATACATTAGTTAAACTACTGGATCGATTTCAAAATGTTTCAACAAGTTAATATGTCCATTTTGCCACACTTTCCTCATCTGTTCATATTAATTTCTGATTATTTTTGAATGTCTTGATATAGAAATCATAGAGTTAGAACAGCATTTTGTTCTTATTTTTTCAGCAATGTAATTTGTTTAAAATTAACATTTTTTTTCTAAATTACCTTTACCAGTTCACTTCTGAGGTTTCTGAGGTTGAGTTTTGACTCCCAATGACTAGAGAGCGACATAAGGATGAGGGCAAGTGAAGAAGAAGAAATGAGGACCTCATAAGTCCACCTAAAAAGCTCTGTAAACAGTACTTTTTCATATCCTCTAAAAGTTTAATACACTAATTTAGAATTAATTTCTAATTAGAATTTACTTCTAAATTAATTTCATCTTACAATACCTGTAGCTTACAGTGTAAAAGTTCCAAGTAATCCTTTTCCTAGATAGAAGAAGCTTGAGGARGGTTGTTTTCATTTTAGGAATTATATAGTTGTCTGATCCGCGCTTTTTGAAGGCATAGCTACATACGCATATCCCATCCATACTTTCACATCCCAAAAGTGGTAGTTCATAATATTAAAACAAAACTAAGCAGCAAATAGTGAGAAGATTTTTTGGGGAGGGGGACTGAAAATACAAGCTTTAAGCCTAAATACAAACTAGCTGGAAGGTAGGTTTTCTGAAACCTGCGGTGAATATTTGAACTGATAAAAATATATAACAAATGATGCAAAACAAGAGCATGTAGACAAAACTAGGAAAAATAAGTATCATTATAAGTTTGCTTATCACCAAAGATAGAGGAATTTTAATGTTTCCTGATTAATATGCTAATAAATAAAGCATAAAAAGGGAAAGTATTATTCAGGGTTGCCTACTGACCACCAAAATCAAAACAGAAGACACAAGTAAGCAATCCTTGAAGCATCTACCATTCAGAACAAAAAGTACAAAYAAAAATTTCTCAGAAGTGCTGTTTCACCTACCAGAACAAATTCTAGATTTTTAACAGTAAAGATCACMATTTCCCAAATAAAAATGTTACATCCAAGAAGATGCAAACCTAGAGCAGACTTTAGCTTCTGATCTGATGAGTACTAACAACGCTAGTGGTACTCCAGCAATCTGGAACGAGACTGTGTGTTGTATGCAGAATGCAGCCCAAATCAACAATTTATGTCTGCCTGGTGATCTAAAAGGGACAATTTAACACACCTGGAAAAAGCTAAATCACAGGGGAGAGCATTTAATCAGAAACATGAATAAACATTAGAAACTGCACAAGAATGCTTTATCAGGCACTCAAACCAATGATGTTCAGTCACTGAGAAAGCAACAAGCACTGGCTTGAAAGAATCTAAAAAGAAGAAAAATTGTCATTTAGAAAGGGAGGAAACTGTAAAAAACAAGACAACAGTGAATAAAAAACAGGAAACCTGATATTAGCAAGGGTAGAAACTGTGCGAAATTGGTAAGAAGAGTAATACATACAGATAGTACAAGTCAGGATTTTTTTTTTTAAAGTACATTGTAAACAAAAATGTTTACATTCTAAGAAAATGATATTAATTACTTGATGGAAGTAATGAGGATGAACAGCCAGTATGTTCAGTAAATATTTACATACCAGTTTTGAGAAAAGGACAATTGAGAGATGGGAATGAAACCAATGAAGCCAACGTTTAAGCCAACCTTAGTAGATGCTAAAAAAACAGCTAATAAGTTGAGAAGATAGGAACACAAAGCACAATGAGTAGATGAAAAGCAGTGTTCTTTTTCAATAAGTCATAAAATGTGGCTAGATACATTAGAAAAATAGCAAAAGGCTCTGCTTTCAGAAGGGTCCWAAGGGACAGTTTTATAGCCACCATCTCAAGAAGAAATTGTTTTCTTTAATGGAGAGAACATATGATTTTAAGATATCAAAAGATTATCATATATGATAAATAATGAAGAAGGCAGCACAAACATTTAAAACAACTTGGTGCACAATACTCCTTTGCACAACCAACCTGTATGCATTTAATCGTCACCAAATAAAAAGTCAAACAAACTCAGTAACTCGAGTTATTTCAGCTTACATGGCATGAAAGCGATTTAGACCCAAGTTCCAGCCTGCATGTGTGAAGACTTAGCAAAATGAGCATTGTTAGTTACTTCCTCACCTGGAAAACACCTCACTAATTTCCGTAAACCACAGTAATTCACCCAGTGGGACGAGTGGGACCACCACCGTAATACGAAGCACATACTCTGAAAACAAACTTTTATAATAGAATCTTCAATATAACAGAAAAAAATGACATGAATATGATTGCCTACAGCATGGAGCTAAAAAAATGCAATTAAAAGTCTGTGTTTAACAGTGAATTTAATTAACTGCTGGAAAAAATCTCAGCCAGAACTGTGATGCATATGCAGCCACAGTCAATATCTAAGTTAGGATGAGATTTAAATCAGTATTTGTACTTCAAATGCATATGAATGAAAAACATCCTGTGACTTGATACTGGGAATCAGACTAGGTCATGGAACAGGGCTCCTGTTTCCTGAGTTCCCTCCTCCGTTTATAAACAGAATAAGGAGAGGTTTCTCCCCTGAAAACAGAAGGAACAAAGAACAAAAAGCAAAAGATAATCTTCTGGAATAAAGAAAAGGTTGTGGGCTTTTTGCTTGGCAGTATTCAGCACTGAACTCTGGGACAAGTTTTTGAAACAAGGGTTGAAAAAGTTTTTTAGAAGACCAAAAGCAGGAGTCATATAGAAAGTGTTACCAGACTCTCCTTAGCAAGGACATTGAACAGATTTTATGCTAAAATCCACTATTCTTTTCTTAAAAATAGATAAAAGCCTTGGCTTTGTTCTAACACATTTATGGTTCCCTTTCATCTCCCCCAAACCTCCAAGCGCCACCTCCTCAAACCACGCAGTAAAGGTAACTCAGAGGTTAGCTRGTGCCATGCAGTCCTTCTCAACTTCAATTACATTTGATATGCACAGATCTTTGGTTTTATTAAAAAAAAAACACTATGAAAAGACTTCTTTGAAGTGATTATTAAGTGATACAAAGTAATACGATAGCCTGGATTCACCAGGGCAAAAAAACAACCGTAATGTGGGCACATTCAGCATGGGCCGGGCAAGCGACCATGTTCTTGGCTGTTGTGGCCACTACATAAACTTCGCCTTGTGAACAGTTACTGTCGTGATGCCCTGGGCACCAGCACAGTTATGCTGTTCAAAAAAAGACCCTTTAAACATAAATACACTCCAGCCCTTAAGTTTTCAGAATTTATGGCAAGACAATCCATGAGGCATCACAGACTCTCAGAATGGCTGAGGTTGGAAGGGACCTCTAGAGATCATCCAGTCCAGCCCCCTGCTCCAGCAGGGACACCCAGAGCACGGGGCACAGGGCGGCATCCMGGCGGCTTGGGAAGATCTCCAGAGAAGGAGACTSCACAGYCTCCCTGGGCAGCCTGTGCCAGGGCTCTGTCATTCCCACTGTTAACRATTTTTTTCCTTCAGTTCCTGTGGAACTTTTGGTGCTTCAGTTTGAGGCCGTTTCCTCTAGTTCTATCAGTGGCCACGACTGAAAAGAGCCGGCCCCCTCCTCCTCACTGCCTCCCTTGARGGAGTCCTTTCCAAAAATCTTTCATTACCAAATAGTGTACTAAAATAGAACTTGTTTTGCTAAAAATTCTTCACAGAGGTTTCTCTTCAGCTGATCAGATTTAAATGTGCAGGTTAATTGAATTTGATTAGGGAAAAGAAAGAAAATTCATTTGAAAAGAGCTTCATCTGCTGTTAAAAYACCAGAAATCAGAACATTTCTGAATTGCTTTGTTTCAATAGCATTTCATTACCATCTCTTCAGAGGTAGCTTCGTGAATAAGGCTACAGCTCCTGCGCTGTGACCCTGTTCCACAAATAAACTAGGTACCTGATGGGAATCCCTTGCCAGGCCCCACGTGCTGCTCATCAAGGAGATGAGATCAGAGAGAATGGGGGCTTCTGAGCGGAGCCAAAGAGACCTCGAGGCAACTTACTGCAACGTGAACAATAACTGGCTGAACTGAGAGATTTCCCACAATCTAAAGATTTCCACTTGGTAAAAGTCAAATTTTCTTTTTAACTAAGAATGGTGAAACAAAAGATTTGCTTCTGAAGAAAAGTTAGTATTTCATAATCTTGGAAGAAAAGTAATCACTTCAGCAGCATATTTTTTCTCATGAACATTTTAAATGTATTACTTAGCTTAAAGTTTTTATGTATGGAGACCAACTGGATGCATGAACATTCCATACAGAGAATAGGAAAGGGAATGGAAACACAAGTTTTTATGAAACTTTCACAATTATTGTGAAGAAAGAGCTAAAATGGGATGCAGCAAGAATCAAGATACAGACTTCCAAATTATAACAGACCAAAAAGAGAAAATAAAATTTACATTTTTATGGGAAACTATAAAGGAAGTTGAGGTAGAGTGATATTTCGCAGCTAGTGAAGAAAGGAAATCACTTTAGCAGCTGTGTTTCTAGGACAGTCTCTCTTTGGATGATCAATAGCTATATAGAAAGATTTTTAGATATTCTTGGCACCATTAATCAACTGAGAAATACCCTTCCATCAGGAGAAAGRTTTATAGTCCAATCTTACAACAGTGCTATGGGGCTAGATTTAGTCCACCTCATCTAGGTGCTTTGGAAAACTCAGGTGCCTTTTTGTTTAATGGAAAGCAGCATGTGCCTCCTGACATTTCGAAGTGGAAGATCCTCTTGCTGTAAGTTGGGCAGGCAAGCTTCCCTTTTCCTTCTATTGACTATAAAGAACATTTATGCACTTGCTTGTAAGAGGACTGGCTCGCAAGACACCTAAATTTCACTTGCAAATATGGTGCTCACAACAACTTCTTAATACAAATTTAAATAATCAAATATATATTTAAAATGTATTGAAATTGTTTGCCCCATAAAAGCTAGTCTACACTGTATATCTAAAAAAGAAAATAAGTTAAATATAAATTAAACTACCAATATGGAAATTAAAAGAAATCACCACCATCTTACAATCAGCAAGTGAGCCATCTTCTGTGCTTCTCTTGTCAATGGATCAACAATAGCAATAACATCATAGAACGGTTGATTCTGTTCAGGATCTATTTTCACTGCGCTGTTAAAAACATATTTAATAAATGACACAAAAACTAAAATAAATTTGTGGAAATAGCAAATATTTTTAGGCATAATTCTGAAATATCAGAGCTGCTTTGGATTGCATCTCCCACAAAGACATTTCTCTCRTTTAAAACATTTATACTTGTCTCCTCTTGTGATATCACTAGAAATAACAAAATCAACAGCAATTAAAATGTAGCATTAATTTAAGTAGCTCCATAAGGGTTACTGGTTAAATGTGCACTGCATTACTAATTCAATAAAATAAAAGGTAAACACAGAGAAGTGTTTAGAATCCTTTAACTTTCTTTTACTGACATCTACAAGTGCCAATGATGACACATTTTTGAGATAATAGTGGGAAAAATGTTAAATGAGAAGAGTGAAACATGATAGGATAAATTAGCTGATTAAATTAATTTTCTTCTAGAAAAAAAATAGTAACTTGGTTGAAAGAATTCAAGAAGATCCCGCCTAAAGGAATCAGGATCCACAGGAAGGCACAGAATTGAGGTAGTAAACTTCAATTTGAAAAAAAAATATGTGCTGAAAAAAATACACAAACTGGACTAYTTTGCTTCCCAGACATGAAGAAAATATACCTAGGAATGCAACTAACTCACATTAGTGATGCCATACTTTTTCCAATAACRTAGTAATACATCACTTACTCCACGTTATTCCCATAGCCTGGAAAGAAGGTTTTAGCCACTTAAAGGGGGCTGCTGACTTTGCTCCTCGCCTTCTTAGCAAGCATTAGAGACAGAGGGAGCCCACGGGCATGGCAGGCTAGAGCAGCCTTGCCACGGGAAACAAGTAAATAACTGGGAATACGGGTACAACCAGGGGTTTGGTTGTTTAATTTGGTCACRATTCTGATGCTCTGTCCTTTTTATTTTTAATAAGTACCTTTAAAAATAAGTACCTTCTTAAAAATAAGTACCTTGCCCCAGAAAGTGATTGAGCTTAAATCAACACAGTAAATAAGTAAATAAATAAAATTCCCAAAGTTTATCTTCTCATTGAAAGTTACAGATGCCAATCTTGGGATYTGAGGTCTCATTCAAAAACAAGAGAAGACATTTGTGGCCTAATGACTTTCTAAATCTARGATCTCGGTAACACTAGCCATGAACATACATAACCACGCTAATGCCATTGATACAATTCTCCAACTGTAAAGCTGTCAGCTGAAGAAAGTCTACCCAGTTCTTAATGAATTAGTTGCTGAGAAGCTCTATCACTTTGCATCTGTAAGGAATCTACCTGTACTTTAGGGTCTAATCTCATTGTATTTAATGATAATGCTGACCACTTTTGGTTAAGAATGATGAGCTAATCCACAAGCTACTACACAGGTGTAACAAAGTTATACTTGGTACATTCTAATTTTAAAATCAGGGTATTATATGTGCATTATCCTGAGAGAGAGAACTTACCTATGCTGTTCTTTGAGTAATTTCACATCTTGTCTCATCTCTGTTTTAGGCAAAGACGACAACAGGGCATCTATTTTCATAATCAAATCACTGCCACTATATTAAAGGAGGCACACACAATTTGCTATGTTTTTAATTAGAAAAGGAATCAAGCATTCATTTTTTAAAGTATGTCTGTCTACATAATACAGTTCAAAAACCCACATCTCAAACTTGGACACTTTAAGAAGAAGTTTGAAAATAAAATTGTGCATCACCAGAATCTCCAAAGTCATCATTCCAAATTCCCAAGAGGGTCATCATCAAAATTCAAAATTTCTCAAGACTAGAATATATTAAAAAAATGCAGTGTGCAGTATTTCCTTTCCCCCCAGATCACCATAGAGTAATCAAAAGCTGGTAGGTTTAATTACAGTTAAAAACAGGTAGATGAACTTGTCTCTTGGCTGCAGCTACAGTGAAAGCAGCTGAAGTATCTSGAGCAATTTAGCAGGGCTGTAAACAGGTTCTGAGGCAATTTGGAGAGGATGAGAGTCTTGGATAAGCAGGGATCTCTTATGCCTAAGTCCAAGATCCATGATAAAGGATGCACAGCTCTTGAGTAACACAGCGTGCTTTTTTTTTTCCTGGTCTGCATTGTATGAACTCTGAGGTAATAATCAAGGTGTCAGCAGCAGGGTAAATGATACCTACAGTTGAAATCCAACATATATAGCTTAGGTATGCAGTGAAAAACTATGTTATATAGTATCATGGGAAAATGAATAATATAACATAAAAACTAGTAGATATGCTTTTTTTTTTGTAGAAAAGATGGGACAAGTTTGAGCAGGGATGCTAAGTCTACAAGGGGAATCCTAAATAGGAAATGAGGGGCCAGTTAGGACTTTACTATAGAAGTACTCAGATGAGAATCATGAGGATAGTGCATGTACAGCAGAGGAACAGACACTTTAACTGAGTGCTTACAGAATGTATATTCAAAAAGAGCTCTGACCCAGTTTTCACAGAATCCCAGAACGGTTGAGGTTGGATGGGACCTCTAGAGATCATCCAGTCCAACCYCCTGCTCCAGCAGGGACACCCAGAGCACGGGGCACAGGGCGGCATCCAGGCGGCTTGGGAAGATCTCCAGAGAAGGAGACTCCACAGCCTCCCTGGGCAGCCTGTGCCAGGGCTCTGGCACCCTCACAGGAAAGAAGTTCCTCCTCACATGGAGATGGAACTGCCTGTGTTTTAATCTGTACCCATCACCCCTTGTACTGTCACCAGCCACCACCAAGAAGAGCTTGGCCCCATCTTCTTTACATTCCCCCTTCAGGTTTTGCTCCATATTCCACAAAAGGATTATTCATTAGTAGCAGGCAAGAAAAAAAGCATTATTTCATGGATTTGCACTCCTCAAAATATTTTACCTTTTAGCATTGATTCCCATCTCTTTGACAAGAGTTTTAATCTTCTCTGCTGAGGTAGTATATGTTATTTTTTCCAACAATTGAAAGTCTTCTGCATAGAATTCATTTTCATCTAAAGGACCCAGTATCTGAGAGGGAGAAGAAGAAATCTTACTAAGCATGGTAATATGATGTTGCTTTTTTAGCAAAAATGCACCAAATCTTGCCCCTTTTACACAGCTATATTAATAGCTACATAATAACTACCTAGTAGTACTCAGAATTTGAAAATATTGAGGTTTTTACAGCTTTTTTTTTCTTCCAAGGGAGCATCTCTAAATTAGAAACAAAAATATCAGTCAAGCAAAGAATTCTCAATTATAAGGAGCAGATATAGTAGAAAAATCCACAAATATCCAAGGCCTTTTTCATTATACATCTCCATATGAAGGCCTAAACTATTTACAAGTAACAAATTTGAGTTTAAGAGAAAGCTTGGTGAGATACATTATTTTAAACTGAAATACAAGCTACTACCTTCCTAGTAGGTGATTTAGTAGTTAAATCTCGTGAATACAATATTCACTTCTCAGGTGGAGCAGAACGGATAGCATGGAATTCATCAGGGAGCAAAGGAGAAGGAATGCCGGATACTCAGAGAGAGGAAACAGAAGAACTATTCTTTCTTTCTTTTTCTTTTTTTGATATCTGAGCCCAAAGAAAGTGCCTCCAAGCCCCAGGAGGCAGCTATGAGGCGGCCGGGGGCGCTCTCCTGCTCACAGGCTACTGGGCTAAACTGGTCCAGGGCCATTTCAGGGTCCCCAGGGCCCCAGGAGACAGAATATCTAAATTTACATTTTGTTGTTGACTGGCTCCTTCCCACAAATCAATTGCTTCCAAGAAATTAGGTGATTTTAATAAGTTCAGCTTTCAATTTCTGTATTACTATTAATGGTGCATAAGATAGAGAGAACCATAAAAAATGCTAATTTTCTAGAGGTAAGATTTAGAAAATCTTTTTGCTAATGCAAAACTGTAATGCTGATGTAACTGCAGTATAAGTAAAGCATATCCTGTTTCTTTCTTAACAGTCAGTTTTAAAGTAAAATTGAGCTTTCAGATGGATGAATACACATTACTCAATTTACTCAAGTATTTACAGGGCAAGTATTTCCTCAAAACTTACAACATGCCATTTTATTTATTTATTTATGATAATGGAAAACAGCAATATCCATTAGTTTATAAAATAAAATTATGTATGTACTTATGGGTTTTTTTCCTCACAGAAAAAAAACAGCATTTTTTGTGCGATATCAACAAAAATATATTCTGTGGTTTATTTAGTGGTATTTCAGGGGTATCTCAAAAGCTATTTAAGAAACAGAAGAATAGCTAAAAAACAATTTTAAGGGACTTTCCAGTAATGAGATGCTAGAAGAGTATCCCTATTTCCTTCTGGTGGTGGAGCAACAAACAGGAAAGCCTTGATTCAGGAGGCAGTTCATATAACTTGGTAGCTACTGCCTGTCATTAGCAGGTACTATATCCTGAACCCTACACTTTATTTTTTAACCACAGGTCAAGCTACAGCCACACAGTAATATAAGCTCCCTGTTTTAAAAAATGCATACTTGAAACTGAACAGAGGTACCGTATTTTACTTGAATAGTAAGATTTAAGATTGTATAAGATTTAAACATTTATAAACTACTTGCTCTTTACAGAAGAGCTTGGACATACTACCCCTAGTTATTATAATTTCGTCTTAATTATATATTAAATATATTTTGATTATACATGTATATAATTATTATACATGATACATGATATTTTACATGATATACATGATATTTACATGATATGTACATGATACATTTATACATGATATTTTGATTATACATGTAATTATTAATTACATATAATTATTAATGCAGTGAATATGAACCTATTTAGGGCACTTTATCTATAGCTCCACATTATCTTTTTAACAGCTGTAAGAACAAAGCAGCCCCTGTCAAATGGAGCTAATAAAAATCAAAGTAAAAAGACAAACATTTACACAATTCTCTGCTGAAAGCCTGAAAAAAAGTGAAAAATCAATATAATATATTACCATCAGCATGCAAGTGAAGTTCTGGGAAACAGAAATACCTACACGAAGAATGAGACATGAGTTATTTCCTCACTTACCCTGCCATTGCTCACAACAGCCATTTGCCCGGGAAGCAGTTTAAGAACCTCCTGGCAAAACATCTGGTGCGTTTTAATTACATCCAGTCCTAAAGTGTTGTACTTCTTCTCAAAAGCATCCCCATCCATTCCCTGAAGCAAACGTAAAGAATGAGATGGCAGACTGATTAAGCAAAACCAAATTCTGTAGCAGCTGAAGGAAGCAAAGATTTCCCTCAAACTATGTGGTAATCAAAAATCTAAATAAAGCAGCTTCAGCTTCAGTGTAGGCACCTGGCTCTTAGCGTGTGCCACGGTCTCCCAACCAGCTAGTGGGCAGGTTTTACCCTGGAGCACCTGGGAGGATCCATGACGGCCAAGTTGAGGCTGAGCTCAAACAGTTTTTCTTAGATTAAGCACACAGCTGTATTAACTCCCCTCCTAAAACTAGGGTATCGACCACTGCCTGCTAGGACTTGAGCTTAAATATCATCTTTAAGAGAAAGGTATAAAAATGTAGATTACTCTAAAAACTAACAGTGACTTTAGAATGTTCATTCGATTCCTTTCCTAGAAACTGCATATGGGTTAAAGTGTCCCCTAATTTGATACTTTACAGCATTTAGCCAAACACTGTTACTTTCGAGTACATCTGATTTCAACGAAATAACAACAAAAAAAAGAAACTCTATGAAGTAAATAGTAGTTAAATTTCGTGTTCACTCACTGGCATGAGGAATTTAATTATTTTAGTCCCAGCAGCAAGGGATTTTGCTGTCTCTTCTTTTGTGAGTTTACTTAAGAAACCTCTTAGGTTGCTGCTGTTTTGGGTTAAAAAAGCTGTCAAAATTCCTCTTGCAATGGCTGTGTTATCCTCTTGTATTTTTGATGAAGGATTGTTCAAAATTCCAAGTCGTGTATGTCTGCTTGTTTTCTGCAAAGAAGAATATAGAATAATAGAGTTTCACACATGCCATTACCTAACATATGCTTATTTATTATAGCACTGTTGTTGTCTACTCCTTAACATGTATTTTAAATGGAATACTTTTGTCATAGAATGATTTACCTTTGAGTATTCTGCAGAAGTATATTTTTAGTAAAAGACATACAGCAGTACTCATTTACAAAATTGGTTTTATAGTTTTGTTTTTCAAAAAAAAAATAAACAGCATAAAATAAATACAAGATACTTACACAATATTTATTCACATATCATTTTAATCTTAAACAGCAAGAAGCTCTTTAACTAGTGATGACAAACCTTACTAAAGATGTTGATGAGAAATCTTTATAAAATAATTTATAAAAACTGCTAGAAACTTACCAGGTGTTTCAAGGCATTAGAAAGCAGTTTTCTCCCTGCTGGCTTATCAAAATCAGCAATAATCCAGATAGTAACAGCATATAATACATCTTCATCTGAAAATTGGAAATAATTTTGCATTACATTCCAAAGATTTTTTTTTATGAACAAAGAATTAATCTTATTTGAGATTTAAAGTTTATGTGCAAGTGGTTTTAACTCTAAGAGTAACCTTTGCCGCATCAGTATCCTTTGCCCTTTAATTAGAAAAAAAAATGTGGTGGCACTTTATCATGTTAATATGAGAACCACTAACATCACTGAACTTTTCAGTGGAACCACTGAAACACAATAGCTCTGAATAATAACTCATTGTTGAATAAAAGGAAGGGCTTTATCAGAGGTTCCAGTGAACATTTGATGGAAACTGATCACATAATCAGATATAAAACCTGTTAGGTAATTAAAATAGTGCAGAAGCTGGGCCATTCACTTTCTCAAATAGCAAAGGGAGACTTCTTGAATCAAAAGCAGGTTAAAACTTAACCTTTTTGGATACAAAGATATATACCCAACTATATTCCAAAGAAGATAAACGATAGTACAGGTATATACTCAGAAAATTTGTCTGTTTTTCCTCCTTGTCTATAACCTCTATCGAAAGGCAATGATAGATGAAAAATTACACAAAATGATCTCCAGAAGGATAACAACCTGCTCAGGATCATCACAYGTCTCCTGAAAGGTAACATGTGTTGACTGGACTTGAGAAGGTTTTGGTGAGATGCTAGGAAGAGGTGTGATTGTGCTCTGTAGGGGCTGGAAAACCACTGGGGACATAGACTAAGAGTGGACTGCAGCCTCCAGGTACAGATTTTACACAAGAGATCTGCCTCTCAGAAGTGAACCAGTTTTCACTTGAGAATGTTGAAAAGGGTTTTGTGAAAACTCAATACACATCTTCTTTAATATCCTCAAGTAAACTGGTCAACTGGTCAAATCAAGTCAAAAACACAAGGTTTTTGCTAGCTGATGATAATTACTTGCTGTATTTAACCTGTCATAATGGGTATTGTATTATAAAGTGTATTTATAAACTCATGACCTATCTCTTATTTTAAAGTAACTGTTCAGGCTCATAATCCCAAAATACTTGCAGGTAGGACAAATAACACAGGTTAGGAATTACATCTGTGTAACAGTTTTAAAACAAACTTTCAGGAAATACCGACTTTGACAAATTTTGGTATTTCTGTATATCCCAAATACCTATTTGAATTTTGCTTGGGATATTTTGCTGGCAAATTTCAACTAATACCAACTCATATGCAAAGTTAATGTACCTTTTTTGGTTAAGTACTTCATGTCATCTGCAATTACAGCACTCTTGTCTTGTGAGTCCAAAAAGGAGAAAGTAGAGAAGTCTTGCACATCAAAGGGAACTGCAAAATGTAAAACATAACAGGTTAATTAAGAATTAAGAAAGGAAAACTCATAATAACAGTCTATTCAAGAAAAGTAGTTACCAGATGTGGACCTGAAATGTATGTATTTTCTTTCTGCTCCAAGAATGGTTGGGTTTACACGAGAAACTACATTATGCTGTTCCATAAGAAAATCTATTGCGTTTACATGATCATTCAACAAACCCTGTATTAAAAGAAAAAACACAAAATCTATAATTCAGTAGTTTCAAGATAAAAAGGCCAAATATTCACATACTCTTTTGACTGAGCTTAAAGCCTATATATATATTTATATATATATATATATATATACATACACACACACACACACACACCAAGTTCCAGTCCATTTAAGATGCAAAATGTACAAACATCTCCCAGATAGCATTTCAAAATATTAGAAACATGTTTTTGAATGAACAACTACAATATATTTTCAGTTTCTGGCTGAAAACCCCCAAATGATTCATGTATGCTTAATTTAACCTCACGCCTTGCATAATCAAAATATAATGTCTCAAAACCATGACTGCAAATGAATGTAACAATATAATTTCAGTTGTCATATGATTAATTTTGAACCATCTCATTTAAAAAAATACGGAATGTAAGCAAGACTCAAACACTCCACYGCTAAATATTTCATCTTGCATTCATTTAGAAATGTTAAACATACCATGAAAACTGCCCTCTGGAAGAAGCCGGTGGCATCAATAATCCTCTGGAGAATAACTGTCTCTAACTCTGCACCATCCATCTCCTCTCTGGTAAAGGGCACACCATTAAACAGGGCTTGCGGCAATGGACCCAGGCCAGTCTTCTTATAAAAGGTTGCTCCTGCCTGATCATATCAGAAATATCACAGGATTAAATAGACTGGGGCTGACTGAAGTGAGAAATAAATCTAACGTCAAAAGACAAGGAACTCTCTAAGTGCTATTCAGCATCACACATTCTTATGAGTAGCAGGGACCAAAGAGAAAACAGAGAGGACATATTGGACTCATTTCTCAAAATGGAAGGACAAAAAAAAACCATAGATCTACATTTAGATTTTTAAACCTTTGCCTTATTATCTTGCCAATAAGTATTTTCTTATTAAGGGTTAATATTTGTAACAAAAATTATTAAGCAAATAATGTTGGAAAAGCAGCTTGAGACCATCATGGGTTGAGGCAGACTCTCCCAAGACAGTATCCCCCAAAAGACATTTACGCCCCCAAAAGCATTCAAAAAGGCTWTTATGTTCAGAAGCCAGGGCTTATTTGACAAGGAGCAGAACAGATGGCTACAAACTCTATGCAGTATCTATGCATCTCTGAACAAGGTCCACCTTTCTGTCATGCCACTGGCCTATGTCTCCTGTCTCCTTGCTGCTCTTCAGTCTTGCACTCCTACTTGCACAGCCTTCCTCTGGTTGAGTGTCAAACTATTTCTCTTAATATCTCGCCATTAGTATTCTACAGAGAGAACTTTTCTCTCCTGAGTATGTTCATTTTTTCCCAAGGCAGGAACAAGCTGCCCTTTCCCTTCAGAAGGCTCCATGTGACCCAGAAAAGGGCAGCCCATGCAAGGCCAACTCCAACTTTTTTTTCTGGCTGCCCTAACAGATCCTTTCAAAGGAACATAACATACCTAACAAAATTTAAAAGGGAACAAACAAACACAAATTGGATGGCCTGGCCTAAACATAGACAGGATTCGACAGATAGGCATGGTTGAACAGAAAGGAATACAGACCATTTATATATTTTATCAGAAAAATATATACATAATCAACTATGATGATTATGAGATTAAAAACTCTTCTCTATGTTCGTTAAATGTAAATCCATAGTAGTCTTTCTGAAGTATACTATAAATAGAAAGCAGAAATAAAGGCAATAATGATTTGCCTAGAGGACACAATTCTGCTCCTCACCCTGAGCACCCAGGTGAACAACACCTTAGTATGAGAGACACCCTTTAACAAGCTGATTAGAAAAGAAAGCTCCTGAAACCAGCAGKCAATATATCCCAACATACCTTCCTTCCTTCATCATATTCAGAGTGAACACCTAATATACTCTGAACATCAGCGTGGGGGAATTCACGTCCAAGAACATTTTTCACATGATTTACTGACAGAACTTTTCCATCTTCCACTTCATAGTACATCTGTAAAAATTACACAACAGAAAAAGAAACTGTCAACCACACATCAATATCATATTAATAATTATCACCACCCTACAGATTAATATCGCTTTAATAATTATCATCTCCCTACCTATAAAGTTCTTCATCAAAGTAATGATGAAAAACATCTGATTAATCTACTATTTTATGCCTAGCCTAAACCTAAAGTGACAAAGAAAACACACTTAATGTCAGCTGAAAACTTAAAAATATTTATGTCCTCTTCTTTCATATTCTGAAACATCCTAAGTAAACAAGCACATTAAGATGTTCAAAAGAGCATACAAAAAAGTTCAGTATTTTGTGACCGTTTATGGATAGAGGTCCTGCAGGTGTGCCAGATTTTAACACTGGATTTCTATTTCTCTTGGAAAGCAGTCCCAATTACTCTAATTCCTTTCAACTTAAACTCTGAATATGTCCTTCATCCCTGTGCACTGGGAAAAGTAATAGAAAACAAAAGTTAGGGGAAAAAAAAAGTTGTGTATTAATACCATATTGGCTGATACAATTTTGTTTACGGAGTCTTCACATAAAACACTTGCTTCATTTTCCTCCACTTACCTCTCTCTCAATTTCCTATCTTTATATGAGCTCATGCTGTCTCATACAGAAAAGCAGACTCGTGTATTAATCGGTGAGCCTGGAATACTTCCATGCTTTCTACATCCATGAATAGCTCAAGAACAAGCAAACATGCCCTTATCTTAGTCTGTGCCACTTCCTMTATACAGAGCACCCAAGGTTTTGCTTGCAAAGCTTACAAAATGGCCAGGGCACTTTTGCAAAGCCAGTTCTCCTGGGCAGGCACAAACACAAATGATGCAGAATCACTTTCTCACAAGAAAATACTAACAGCTGTAAGATATACATCTACATTTTTTACCTTCTTGAAGAAAGCCAGTAGATACGGAAAATAACATGAATGAGTTGCCTTGGGGAGCAGGAAAGTCTTTCTGCCAATCATTCTCTAGTAAATTAATGCTATATACTTTTAACACTTTACTTCCATGTAAAGTAAGTGGAGGACATCATGTAGATACAAAGCTGCAAAATTGTAGTTATATAGAACAACAACATGTTAAAAAAAAAAAAAAAAAAAAGAGGCGGATTTATTGTCAGAGAACTAACATTAATTATTGAGGTAAAGGCTTGAGAGGTGTCAGTCTCCTCCGCGATGTAGTTAAATGCTCTCCAAAGCGCCACTCCAGCATCTTCATTTCCATCAGTTTCTTCTTTGGTACTTAAGATGAAAACAACTCCAATTCTGCAAGCAAACAAAAAGAGGGTGCACATTTCACACAGGAAGCAACCATTCCACACACAGCCACTGAGCATACAGCAGAGCGGGGCATTTACAATCCGCGCAGCAAGCAGACASCCAGACCCCTTCACCTGGCTGGTCTCTGTCCTGCCTTCCTGTGGTGACACTGAGGACAGGGATTGCAGCCATGCAGTCTCCAGCGGATCTCCTGGATGATGCTGAGGATATCAGCTATGTGCTGGATATTTGGATATGCCTCCTGCTCCCTTTGGAGCTGACAGGGATTAGGATCTCTGAGGGGTATTGGGTTTTAGGCATTGCCTTTTGTCTCTATATCTGGGTGTCACAAGGCTGTGATCATATTTTTTGTGTTCCTGCCACTTCCTTGATGGCCTGAGGCTTTGCTTTAGCCTGGGCCTTTATTCTCCCTCATCTGGTTGTCCTGAGCATGTAAACATACTGGAGTCTTTATGACCTAACTGTCAACAAATGGCATTCTTACTAACCCCTTTTTGCCTTTTTCGCTACCCTTCTAAGGACTTGCAAGGTTTCCACTTTTGGGAATTAACACGTTTTATTAGCAGCACAGACCTCATTGCTTGGACTCCAGCGTTAAGTCTGAGAATGGGGGGAAAAGATGGTTTTATGAGCCAGAAACTACAAGTTTATATGAACATGCTGCTGCTTCACGTGCTCAGTGATCAACTTGGTGCAGAGCTCCAGAAATTGTCCTCGAATCATGCTGAATATCTGCAGCTATTGCTAGTACAGCACGTCTGCAGCAAAATCATCCATGACTAGGTGTCACTTCTCCCTAAACAAAACCACAGGCAGACAGTGCACCGAAAGACGTGTTCCAAGAAAAAACCCTCCCAGAGCAGCTACCCGGTTTGGTTCTCGCTTTCCCCCTCAGCTTCCTTAACATTTGCTTGTTCCTAAATCTACAGGTAGGGAACCCTGTTGCTGCCAAGCTGCAAGCAAAACCGCCCAGTGAGGTGCTGACTTAGGAAACTGCAGCCACTCATTAAACAGAGCTCTAAAAGCTGCTGCCTWTTCAGGCCTAACTCAGAACAGGATGATGTTCTACATGCAGCTACCAGTTAAAAGCTTGAAAATGATGCCAGTTTTCAACAAGAAGGGAATTATAAGTCAGACCAGAGGAACTGCAGACTTTCTGTGTGTGACATGTAAGGGAATGTCCTGGTGACACCCAGCTTTTAGCTGGCCCTGCACAGCACTCTGCATCTCGGAAATATTTCCACCGAGCACCCAGCCTCATCCAAACCACTGCAAGAACATGAGACACTAATGTGCAGGGCTGAGCATGCCTTGCAGAAGACCTCCATATTTGCAAGCAACAATTCAATGATTTCAATGATTTCAAAGTGAACTTTTAATTTGGATAGTCACTGTGCATCAGGTGGCTTGAAATGACTGCAATGAAATCTCTCATATCATTTCCTCACGTCTTGTTTCACCTGGTTCAGTAGGAACAGGCAATAAAWACGCACCAGCAGCGACCCATGCTTTGCCCGCATCTTGCATACTGTGTACAGTTTGGGTACCCTTACCTCAAAGAGGTTATATAAAAATTAAGAAAATTCAGAGAAGGAAAATAAAAGCAATGAAATTTAGAACGTGTAGAACAGCTAAAGAAGAATTATATATACCTACATACATACATAGCTTACAGAAAGAAATGATTGCAGGAGAATATGGGAGAGCGTATTCAGACACTGAGAGCTTGAGAGAAACTGCTTWACATCTCTTTCAGTTACAAGAAGTATGGAGGCAGTAAATGAAGCCCTTAAAAGCCTGACTTGGAGCAAACAGAGGAAGAAGCTCTTCACTCAACACGCAGTGGGACTGAAAATCCCTGGCAAAGGACACTGTAGAAGCTAAAACTTCACATCAGTTCAAGGCAGAAAAGTTCCTGCCTGACAAAGCTATTCAAAGTTCCTAGAAACTTAGAAATCATGTTTAGGTGTGGATCTCCAAATGCCTGTAGATTTGGAAAATACTCAGGCAAAGTACCTACTTGCCCTGCTCTTACACTCTTTCCTAGGCAGCTCCTTTTGGCTGCTGTTCCAGATGGATTCACCTAAATGGACCATTAGCCTGATCCAGTCTGGTTGCTCTTAGCACCCAGAGCACGCTCTCCTGTGGGACTGAAACTCCCACTCTCCCCGATATTCTGGCAAAAACACAGGTAATATTTGTCCTTCACTACTTCCCTGCCATTGAATGATAAAAATACAAAAATCAGAAACACTTAAGTTCTAAAGGACACTCAAAATCAAAAAAAAAAAAAAAAAGGCATTTAAATATCTAAAGTGGGATTCATCTCACTAACTTCAGCTCATGGTTTGAAATCTTTATTTCCTTTTATAAGGTGTGGAAATAAACAAACACATTTTATCTTGAAATAAAGGCATCTTAGGCATTTCTGAAGAAGAACCCGGTTAGTCTATTTCTAAGATGACTAATTCAAACTCAGATGACTAATTTTTAAAAATCCCAAACCTGRCGAAGTTCTTCATGTTTTGGTCTTTAAGGATTTATAACAACAAAATGAGATAAAACAAGCTTAATTCAAAGAACTAAAATCAAACATACTGAACTGCGCTATACTCATTCCTGCATACTTCCAGAATAATTTTGTTTAAAATTGCAACTTCACAGGGTCATGCAGGGAGAATTTTTCACAAGGTAATTTCTTATGTATTTCCAGTTCATTCTGAATCAGAATCTTATCARAATGCCCTGATAAGCTTAACCCAAAGAGCTGATCAGTGTGACTTGTCAGAGCGTTTTCTCTGGACAAAAGCAACAATTTCAGTTCACATCTTTGCCTAGTGGAACAGAAGATGAAGCAGGAGAGGACAGTAAAAGGAACATTCACTTAAGGCTACGGTTTTCCTTACCGAAGTGGTACATTATGATGAGAGAACAATTCTGTCAGTTTTATATAATCATTTGTATCTTCTTGGATGGGATCAATAAAAAGTACCTAGTAAGAGAAAAAGTATTATATGGCCAAACAAACAAATCATACTGATTTTTACTTTTTTTTTTCCAAATCAAAGTAACTTTATCCACTTTTCCAAATCTCTGAATTTTCCAAAGGAGCTGTGCATCCCAATCATTTGCAATTTCCTAGAACACTCAGCATAGAAAAAAATGTTAAGAGTGTAAATGAAAAAACCTTCAGAATTTACGCATTTGGGCCAAAAGCTGAACAACAGGATTTAATTGCTAAACTACTAGTAATGGATAAATACTTTTGTTGTAGAGTTTTACAATATAATTGATATATCAATGCCAATATTTAATTGTGAATGAAAATGCAACCCACTCCACATTACACATAGCCTTATATTTCACTATAAACACACACACATTTTTTGCTTGAACCTTGGGTTATCTTTTTGCATCACTAAATTTTTGTACTAAAATCCATAGGATTACTTTTTGTAATTAAATTGCCAAATTAAATCAGAATCACCTATTTTCTTAGCTTATTAGGTAAAGCRAAGTGCTATATTCAGGGGAAAAAAATAGGCCACAAGATATTAATAATCAGTATGTATTTTCAGCTTCATCTCTCTGTACCTCAGTTCACCAGCTCCAAAATAAGGATGGTTATGAAAACTTACTGCCTCGGTAATCCTCTATAAAGGTAGGTCATTGCTAGTTATGCATTATATGTAGCATGGAAAGGAACAGAAAAGCTCCTGACAAAACCTGAGCCCAAATTAGGTATCATATAGCATGTAAGGCAGAAAACCAAGAAGCAAATGGGGAGGAGAAAATGAAATATTTAGTTTTTCTGKTTTTTTTTTTCCTTTCAATCAGTGATACAGTATGCTCTGCAGAGAGTGTAGAAAATGTCTCTGGAAAAAAGCTTCGTGAAGTCATACAGACCAAACTGTTACTATAATGCAGAAGGCAGTGGACATGAACGATGTGCAAGCAGAGCTTCTCCCTCTTCTGCAGAATAATATAGTTGGTGTGTAGCTTTTACATAAACTGTATTTCACCTTTTTCCCAGCTAAACACTCACTGGATGCTGGCATTCATCAAAGACTGCAAAAGAGCTCAGTGGTGCTTTATTCATCATCTGGAAGTGGATCATGATTCATTTTCCCCTTTGCTCAAACACACACAAGGAGTTCACATTCCTCTGTCAAACTGTATTTCATATTGCATTTTGAACCTTATTTCCACCATCTGTCTGGCAGAGAGGTTAAGGAATGTGAGAATCACATTAATCAGAAGAATTTCACTAGATTTTTTCACTAGAAGCTAGAATAATTGACCTCTCTATATACTCTTCAGTGCTGAACCTATGCATTGTTTGCATCTTGTAAACTAAAGTCAGGGCAGCAGAAGCAGACTTTTCATTATTTTACATCTCCAGCTGATGCCTCAGTGATGCATAAAAGGAATCTAGCTCCTTGAACAGGAAACCCAAGTCAGTCRTGAATCTTCCACAAAACTGGCAGCGTGCTAAAATAGTCCTCAATTGGGCCACACTTTCATACTTTTCTCTGGATGCCTGTGGCCTGTTGATGCAAAATTTCCATCTTCCTTATTGTTATAAAGAGTATTCAACTGTTACAATCACACGTTCATGAACTCCAATCACCGGGTCTCCGTGTCAACCTCAACTTTTGCTCTTTCACCCTCACACATTTGGAAGTATTTAATTTGATTACATAGCACTTGATGCTTTCTTTGTCTGTGTCTATTACTATCTTCGTTTCACACGGCTATTTATACTGAAAAATATAATATGTTAATGAAGCATATGCATATTCATCCTAATTAGAAAAAACATAACAAGAWGCTCTTTTTATAGAATGTAAAACTTATCATTAATGCTAGGATCATTTTGTAGAAATTAAACACTTTAGCAAATATACATCTGCCATAGTTAACAGTTAAAAGATGAAAACATCACTTGTGGAAATCAGGCTAATAATTATATGACTTAATAAGAAAAAAAAAGTCACTATCATTAGCATAACCAATATTTAAAACATGGTTATCTAGCCTAAGAGTGAATATAGCAGGTGTATTTTTCAATAAACTGTTTGTACATTAATAAATTCACTATGCAAATAATTAACTTCTTCAAACTTACCAAGTTATACAAATTGCGCCTGATTTGCTGTATGACTCCAGGAAATGCTGGTTTAAGCAGCTCCTGGTAGCTTGCAGGCCATGTGCTATAGCTGTGATCTCTTTCTATATTATTAATCCACTAAAATAGAAAAGCCAGCCATTAGAAAAAAAACACATAACATTAAGCAATGAATAAAATTCATACAGATAAAATTATTTTAAGGCATATAGCCTCAAAAGAATAAAATGGTCTATCTTCTTTTTGAATGCATAACAGAAAACAGCCTCTAAAATGAGTATTCTTTTCTTTTCAAACTTTATTTTCTTTCTATTTACAGTATACGATAAAACTAATTTAGGATGGAAAAGGAAATGTGAATACAACCATTTCCAAAAGGTGGAAGCTATTTTTACAGTACAAAAGTTGTAACAACATTTCTCACACATCTCACACATATACGCAACATATCGTAACTATCTTGTAAGAAAAATAAAAATATTTAATATTTACCTATTTCTCACAGCAGCACTTAACATCTATCAAAATGTCTAAGTAATTCATATATGGACAATTCCTGCAAATCTGCATATGCCTCTCTACAAAAATACACTATTCCGGGTATTGCTTTTTCCATTTTCCTTCACATTATCATTTATTACCGTGGATTGTTCTGTGCAACAAGGCCTATAGCTAGTAATTAGAGGAGGGATATATGGTCAGGGGAAAAATACAAATTATTTTATGCCTTTTTCATTTACAAACAGCATTTGCAATGGAAATTGTATAAAGTTTGAAAGGTGAGAAAAAGCAGCAGTACAAACACAGGGGCTTCATTCCTAACTAAGTGTAATCTATGGACTATTAGAGGTAAGATATTTAAGTTACAATTAACTTTCTTGCTTGTAAACTATATTTAGCACACTTGCATAAAGAAAAGACCGTACAGTCTGATTAAYTGCTATAAAATCAAATTCTTAGATAGTCCTGCAATTGTGCAACTACTCTTGAAAACATTCCTCTCTTCTTTTAAACATCCTTCATGTCAAAGAAATACCATCTTCTTCAGTATTCATGCTGCTTATTGATATTGTAGGCTTTTATGTCTATTACTGTAATGGAAACACTACCAAAAAGGATGGACTGTCACACACGTGGCAAATCAAATATGCAACATTTACAACTAATCATTTAATGACTCACTACTATTGAAGAGTGACGAATATCCAGGGCATAACTGTCACCTGCAGAATGTACTTGCAGTCTCATAAATTTGCTCAGGATCTCCTCTTTGATTCCAAGCTCATGAAGACCATGCATCGCTTTTCCTTCCAGTCTGAGAGTCTCTAAGATACTTTTGCAGGGAGACAAAATGCATAACATGCACATACAAATGTTAACATGACATAAAAAGCATTTTGAAAGACTTAATGGGCGGATTATTTTTTGGTTTTAAAAATAATTTCAAAGTTTCCCTGCAATCCAATGTTTAAAACAAAATTAAACAGCCCAACGCCTATATATTTTATTTATAAAATAACGCTGTGACAGATTAGACAGCRCTTTATTCACATTTCTTGTATATAAGGAAATATGACCCATCTTTTGTGAGAGGGCAGCTCGTTTGCACTGCACTGGCTGAGGCAGGACCCCAGGGCAGAGGCAGATGCTCTTGCCCAAGAGGAAGCTCCCTGGGTGGGCAGGGGGGCAGGCAGTGGGTGATGGGGAGGGACAAGGGGCATGTTGGTCTGGTGCCAGTGACTGTGGGAGCTCTGCAAGGAGCAGGGAAGAAACATTGAGCTAAACCTCAGAGATGATGTAAAGCAAAATGATTTCCAGCCACGCCGATTGCACTGTAACGTTCGCTGCGCTCTGAAGAGTCAAGATGAGAATGGGGAAAAAAAAATAAAGAAAAAAAAATCACATGCCAGGACACAGACTTCTATTCAAATCAAACCTGCTGTTAGCATTAATAATCTCTTAAATATTTAGGGTGTTCATTTGAAAGACGGAGGTTGTTCCATCTCAAAACCCTGGCTGGTTTGTGTTGCAGCRGAAGTGTGAAGGAATCACTCCAGCAATATTTTTTCTTATGTTATAGATCAGGGCTTCAATTCATCTCATTTAAAACTTGGCTACCTACAACTAAAATTAGAAGCACAGTCCTTTGAGGTTTCATGAAAACCTGTAGTCAATAAAAGTGAGGTGGCTCCAGAGCAATCACATTTTAAATAGCTTGAATGTAGCTCTGTCCACAAACTGTAGAGGGGGTCACAGCTCTCTTGGCAATTCAGATAAGACCATCATGTGTTCGAAGCCAGACGTAAACACAGTCAGCTATGAAAAGTCCTTAAATTACCCTAAATATCTCACATTTCTAAATAATATGGAATGCTTACTTTGAGATAAACACTACACATTCACTTACATGATTTACAACTAAGTATCTCTTTACACAAAAACAGACACACAGGACCTGAAGAGGAAACAGACTCCAAAGAATGTTTTTGACTGCAAGCAAAGCATTGTGCATACTGAACAAATAAAGAAATACTTAAGTAAAAAAAAAAAAATATAACTATAAACGCTAAAAGAAAAAAAAATCAGATTCCTCTTAATGAGCAACTGAGGAAGTTTTGGATTTTCTTTTTTTAAAGAAAAAGATCTGTAGAAATTGTATGAAAATGAAAAAAGAAATCTTTCAGTCTTCRCAGTGGTAGATTAACTGAGAAAATGAATGCAGGCCACCAAAAATGAGTCTGAAGTGGTCAGACTGGTCCAGCTGTGGGCAACATACAGAAGAATATGAGGTAAAAAGTCTACAATTTACACAGCACTTGCTTAAGAAGCACTTGTCCCCATAAATATTAAATGAAAATAACCTGAGGGAAAATTGATTTAGTTTAATGTATTAAAAAGCTGCAATCAGCTTTTTGTCACACTACTGWTTTAAAGGAATGTTCTTCCAATAGAGGACTATTTTGAATCACTTCTCTAGAAGACAGTCTTAAAGTCTAGAAGACTGTCTTTCGAAAACACACTCATGATCTCAAAAGATGAAAACTTGGGTTTTTCATGTAAAATAGCCTGAGCAGTATAATTTTATAAACTGGGAAATGATTTCTTACAATAATTAAAAAAAAGACTTTACCAAAAGGACTCTCTTTAAAAAAATGTTCAGTCACAAGTAAGAAAAAAAAAATCCAGATTGCCTATTTTTTTTTCAGATTTTAAGAAACAAGTGTGCAGTCATTTTCATTTTTAAATTGCCCTTCCCATCTTTAACATACACATGCCATATTCTTCCCATCTTAAAATCAATTTTGCATGGTAAGTTTAAAATAGTAAATCAGACATAAAATAGAAATGTCCAAGAAAGTACTATTTTATACTACTTACTAAATGTTCATAATCAAAGTATGACAGTATTGACTGTAACACTGTAAGCCAATATTCCAATATTGGATTGTCATGCAACTGTAGTTCAATAATCCAATATTGAGGGTTGTGATCAGTGGTGCACTCTAGCTGGAGACCTGTAGTTAGCGATGTCCCCCAGGGGTCGGTTCTCGGTCCGGTCCTGTTCAACTTATTCATTAACGACCTGGATGAAGGGCTGGAGTGCTCCCTCAGCAAGTTTGCTGATGATMCCAAACTGGGAGGAGTAGCTGATAGCCCTGAGGGCTGTGCTGCCATCCAGAGGAACCTGGACAGACTGGACGACTGGGCGGTGAGAAACGTCATGAAGTTCAACAGGGGCAAGTGCAGGGTCCTGCACTTGGGGAGGAATAACCCCGGACACCAGTACGGATTAGGGGTGGACCTGATGGAGAGCAGCCCCGCAGAGAGGGACCTGGGTGTCRTGGTGGACGACAAGTTGACCATGAGRCAGCAGTGTGCCCTGGTGGCCAAGAAGGCCAACGGGATCCTGGGGTACATTAAGAAGAGCGTCTCCAGCAGGTCGAGGGAGGTGATCGTCCCCCTATACACAGCCCTGGTGAGGCGGACAGCGATAGAACTAGAGGAAATGGCCCTGAACTGAAACACCAGAAGTTCCACAGGAACTTAAGGAAAAATTTCTTGACAGTGGGGGTGCCAGAGCCCTGGCACAGGCTGCCCAGGGAGGCTGTGGAGTCTCCTTCCCTGGAGATCTTCCCAACCTGCCTGGATGCCGCCCTGTGCCCTGTGCTCTGGGTGACCCTGCTGGAGCAGGGGGTTGGACTTGATCATCTCTGAGGTCCTTTCCAACYTTAAGCATTCTATGATTCTATGATTCCCTATACTGGAATACTTCCTGGCCTGAAAATACATCAGATGAGATTATCCATCATCCTGAGCACAAGTCTTCCTGTATTACTAGCAAYTCTGTGATTTTCAAGCAAAATGTATCCTTACCTAAATGGATCGTGAAAATCCATGTCGATGTGAAGGCCATTTAGAAACAGGCGTCCCTCTCCGGGTTGAATTCCAAGTATTTCATAAAAATGCTTAAAAAGAACAGGTACTGCTTGCTTATTTAGATACAGGTCAACACTAACATATACGTCTATATACACGGAATTTTAAGTCAAAACAGACATGTCAACTGTCTTCAAAATAATATTTTCTTTTTTGCTGAATATTCTTCATAAAATATTGAAAGTGTACCCTTATAAATGTTATTTATACATTTTCAAGGCTTAATACAAACAAAAAAGTTGTATAAATCCTCAAAAAATAGCCTACAGTTATTCYACCTRTATAATGAATAGACTGTGAACATTTTCAGTGTCTGACAAATGAAAGGGAAAATACACACAAATAGAAAGAAGTATGACTCTTGAGTTTTTGAAAAATGACTCCTAGAATATTTCTGCTACAAATTCATACACTCTCAAATGGGGGACAAAGGAGACTCCCATATGTGTTCATGTGTCTTTTACACAAAGTTAGCTTWCTTAATATCTTAAATCTTTCACATATCCAAAAACACACAGTAGCACTTATTGATGAGAGGGAAGAAAAGCAGACTAGAAGCAGAAACCTAGGAACCTGGCAGGAACCTTCCAAAAGGAACCTAGGAAAAAAGCCAGGTCAGAAAGGGGCAGCAAAGGCTTGACAAAGAAGAAAAAAATAACTTCACAACAAAATAAACAGGCACAGGAGGACGAAGGCCCTTTGGGAGCAAGGTGCTTCTTCCTGAGAACAGCAGGGCCATCCGACCTTCGGATGGCTGTCAGTGGGAGAAACCAAAGCCTCAGCACTTTTTCCAGGGGCTCTGCGAGGCACCACCGTGTTCAAACTATCTCCAGTGGCTATCAATAGGGTTAAGATAACAGGAGCAATCACAGTTCTTGCTTCCCACTCGCACCAAGAGAATCTGACATACATTCCCAATGGGGATGGGAAAGCATCAAAACTATGTAGGAAAAAACGAGCTTTCTTTTGTCATTTTACTGCCACTAAGAACTACAAAACATGTAGGGCAAGCAACTCACAACTCGGGCTGTGCTGGTACTGAACAAAAAGAGAGAAAAAACAGGAAAGCACTGAAAATGAGAATCTTTTCAAAGCAGCGCCGTTATTCAGACAGTTAAATAGAACTGAACACCATGGCAGTTGACTCAAAGTTGGTGACATTCAACTGCAACCCTGCCTAAAGGGGACAACCATTCACTTCGTACTGCTTGAAATCTCACATGAGGGCACATCCCCAATCATTCATCAAAAARGTACTGGTTTTGTTTGTCTGTCTAAACATTTTCATAAACCAGGGTAGATTGGAAATATGCAATGGTGCCTAATATCACCATATGAAAGAAAAGGCTGTCTACGAAGAGAAAATGCAGCTGTGATAAGCTTGAATCTAACACAAAAGGAACTTTTATGAGTACAAAACCTGTCCTGTTGCTTGAAAATTATCTTTAGAAATTCCTGCAGTGCATCCGCTAAGAACACATCACTGAGAACTCTTCATTTCCTGCCTTTATCATTTTAATTGTGGGATCCCAAGTTTGCAGAGCTTTCATGGCTTTTCTTTGTGGATTTACCAAAGACTAAACAATAACTATGCACTTGTTTTAACAGTATCTGAATATGACAGCATTTACAAAACCTGAAGATGAAACAAATGGAGGATATTGAACCTTCTTGTTGAAACTGTGAGGACAATAGATGTAATCAACTATGTTTTCAAGCTCTGATATAACAGGGTGGATCTGGGGGAATGCAGTCTTCTCACTATTGCTAATAGGGTGGTCTATTTTTTTCAGATGGTCCTTTTTTTTTTTAATCTTCTTTGAAGTAATTTTACTAGTTATCAGCTAGTTAGACAGCTAGAAATGRAAGTCACCAAGCCTTTCAAAGGGGAGCAACAAAATCTTCACAATGACCTGCAAGGCTCCCGAGATGCCATTCCCACACCTCTTACAAGCTTTGTTGCATAACATTTGGTGCAACTTTGGGCTACCCAGAAAAGCTCTTACAGCAGCTGGAATCCCTGGCCATCTTGCCTATACAACGTTTGATTTAGCGCCACAAGTTAAAAGAACATAAAGGACAAAAAAAAACAAGCCAGTCTCATGACACAGTGAGGGGACACCACATCACCCTCTCATCTAGTCTGCAAATATAACTCCAACTCCAAGTAGTTTAACAGCACAGTTRTGCTACAAATGGCTGTGAACACAGAAAATTCCCCTTAGTGGCACTGGGCTTACGGGCTGAACAACAGTCATAAGAAAGATTCCAGTGTGAAGGGCTGGAGGCCATCAGGGCTTGTGTGAAAGACAGAGGAGCCAGAGGAGACCTTCTCCTTGAGGCACTGTGAGATCAGCTCCTATGGTTCCAGCTGTTGTGCCAGCAGTGCAAGTTTAGTGCTCACGCCTAGGAGCCCAGAGACTCCGATAAGCAGCAGTACTGCCTGAGACTGCAGCTGGCTCATTTTGGTCACACAAGAACTAGCACTGACTAAACTAAACGCAAAAACAAAGGAAAACAGAAATATCAGTCGGTGTCTAAATCAGAGTGAGGACTCATTCCACAATTTTGACACAAGGCATTTGGTTGTTGAGAGGAGCATTCATTTGCTCAAACTTCTTTGATGGAAGGAGTATTTAAGCATCCAAGACTAGAATTTGATGTTGAAAATGCATAGCATTTTGCTAAACTGTCAGCAAATTACTACACTGGAGGTTATGAGTTGCATTTAAATGGGATTTTCTTTTTCCTTTTATAGCAGTTTTGTCTATTTTTTAGTTAGATATGAACTCTCTACATGTAAATCATCATGTGCTTTTCAACTTTTAATACCTTTATGTGATCCCATTACATTTCCTATTCAGCTTTCATTCCCAGGAGAGGGAATCATTCAGTTACCCCCAGCATGAGACCATAGCTCTCCTGCTGTTAGATGGATGTACTGCAGTTCAGGAACTCACATGCCAACTCACTCACTGTGCTCTGGCAGTAGCATTCAAGAAGTTTCCCTGTGCTTATTGGTCAGCCTAGATTTAGCAAAGGGCTTTTTGTTTCATGCAGGACTTTTGTGCAAGACTTACATTTAGTGTGGTAGGTGCTTAAGATCCTGGTGCAGTCAGTGTGTTCCATGTAGTCTAAGGAGTTAAGATGGTGACTGAGCTTGCAAACCACGCTGGTATCTAATGCCCTTTGAGGTGCCACACGGTCTCAACATAAAGTTTCTGGACTGGAAAGCAGAGGTCAGGCAGAAGGCACCAGCCACAGCTGCCAGTCYGTGTGGACACTTTGGATGCCCTGCAGCATCTCCAGTGATGTATGAAGTTAGGTTAGGGCAACTCAAACAAGCCCCACACAACAACTGTAGAATGAGCTATGGGTTTTGTTGCCTATTGACTACGTCTTCTTAAATGCAAATCTCTTCATTTCAAACTAAATCTTACTTCTTTCGTCCAAGTGATCCTATTTTACAGTAAACATAGCCATTTTAATTCCAGATAAATCCTTAGTTTGCTTGCATTTTGGACAGTTTTTGCTTAAGAAGTTTGGGGAGGTTATGTTAAAAAAGAAAAAAAGAAAAAAAGAAAAAAAGCTAAAATTAGAGCTAAATATTGTAAAGGCCTCATCAAGAAACAAATACTCATCAAGGTCCTGATACTAACACTCAGGTATTCTGGAGAAATCAGGATCATCAAGGTTTTGCCTTGCTTTATCCTGACTGTAGTCACCATAGCAAAAAAAGAGATAAAGGAAAATRTATCTTGTCATATCCAGAAAGCAGTGAAGAGTGGTGAGATACTGCTTTGCCCCCTTGAGCAAAAAATGTGGTCTTTAGTAGTGTAAGAAGGAAGAGGATTCCACGACACTGAGTCCACCAGTCATACCTTATTAAAACACTGGAGTGCATGTCTTACTGAGTAATCAACACACACACTCCTGACACCTCGTTCACAAGACAGCTGAAGGTCCCAAGGAGAAGTGCTCTGATCAGTGAGTCCAGTTGTCACCAGCCCCACATGCAATTGCCATAAAACACACACAGTTGTTTGCCTAAGTACACAGCCCTTGACTCTATCCCTCTTTGGGCATTCATTCTGAAGACCAGCAAGCCTTAAATTAATTTAATTATTTTTTTTTTTTCCCTCTGAGAGAAATTAGGGAAAAATTGCTTTGCTAAATCTCCAAAAGCAGTGATATGATGGTAACTCCATGTGTACTTCAAGAAACAAAAACAAACCTTCTGATTTTTCTCTATTTCATTTCGCAGTTCCTTGCTTACAGGCACTCTGGTCAATGATCTGGAAAAAAAAATATAGTATCATTCACATGTTATACTTTTTAAATGTATTAAGTAAAATGAAATATATTGTCACTGTACCAAATGCACTGTAAATAAAAAATGCAGTAATTAATACTGCATTAAATTAAAAAAAGAAAAGTAATGTATAGGGTCATAAATGTTCTAGTTTCCAAACAAATGTTTTGTTGTGTTACTCTAGTAAATTTAGCTTCAAATTCATGCCCARTTTTGCTGAAGTGACAGAATCAGCTTATTTTTAGCATTCTTRATCTTTCCTTTTATTTTTCTGGAAGACAGTTTGCACTGAACACCAAGGAATTGCTCAAACATCCTAATTGGAAATGCTAATCGGATATTTTAAGTTAAGGTTACTAACTCTATSTTACTCAATGTTACAATACAGGTGGCCAAAGGACACATTTTGATATTGACAAAGGCAAGGAAAGCATGCAAAGAACGACCATTTTAAAAATGGCTGAGATATTTAAAAAAAAATAAAAATCAAAAAATTAAAACAAAAAGCAATGATTGAGACCTTTGGAAACTTTAAATATTCAAAGGCAGAGCTTTTTTTTTTTTTTTTTAAAAATCCCTTTTTCATTTAACACTGTTGTCAATACATGCCTTATAACTTTTCAAATTATTCAAAAAATAAAAATCAAAAAATTAAAACAAAAAGCAATGATTGAGACCTTTGGAAACTTTAAATATTCAAAGGCAGAGCTTTTTTTTTTTTTTTTATAGAATCCCTTTTTCATTTAACACTGTTGTCAATACATGCCTTATAACTTTTCAAATTATTCAAATATTTGTAATCTCTCGTGTTAAAACAACATTCTAGATTAACATATCAGAATAATTTATACCGGACAGCAACTCTAATACCCTTTAAGAGTATCGAAGTCTTATACTTCTATTCAGGAAAGAAAAAAGTTTGAAGAGTCCATAACCTGTACTGCTGTGCCACATATATATACCAGGAATGTTGAGTAGGATGCAATAACTACGCAATAGCTATAAACATGACTTTTTAAAGTCAGTGACTTAAATGTCATGAAGTGAATTTAAAATCATCTTTTTTTCTTGTCTTTTAAAAAATAGAACTAGGACTACAGTTCAACACTATGTACATTTCCGTTGCTCTCAATGAAAAGTTTCAATTTCTGGTTGTTAATGTTACTGCAAATGCCGTATATATTCCTTCATAATAATTATGTTTCAAGCTTTGAAAATTATTTTTCTACCTTAAAACAAGATGCTGTAAAGGTATTTTTTCCATTACAATGCACMTTCTCTTTAAAGAAAATCACAGATAACTATAAAACATAATGTGAAGATTAAGTAAGGGCTGTAAAACAAGAAAGCACCAAGTTAAGAACCATATTTTGCATCCTACTCATTTCAGTAACTCAGACAAATATTACTTGATAGAATCAGGATTACATGAAGATCTTATGAAATGTAAAGAAAAACATTTCTCAACTAAAACACAACTGGCTCATAAGAGGTCTTTAATATTCTGCTTAATACTAATGTTCTGGTTTATTTAAAATTGACTTTTACCTTTTGCTGAGTTGTTTGTGTATCTTCTCCAGTGAGAAGTCTTACCAGCACACAACAGTTGGGATGCAGCCTCACAAGCAATGCTGTGCTCAGAACCTACTGCTGTGGGTAGACCTGCTACGAAACTAGCTGAATTTTTGCCCCTAACTATTGTGAGTAGCTCTGCTATTAATTTAACAGAATTTTGTACCTAGAAAAATGTCCACTCCAGTAAAAACAGAAAGCCTAGCCCTTCAGATATTAAGTGTCTGAAAGATTAGAACACGTTGGTAAAATATGGTGTCTCATGCATCAGACAATAAACACGCAGGAGACCCATCATGACTTTCCCCAGAAGTTATCTTCTGCTCAATCAAATTGCCTGAAATGTATCTAAGAAGCTGTAAAACATGATTACCCAACGGTGGGATTTGGATATAAATCTATATTGCTGTCTTGAAATTCAAACACAAACGTAAAATCAATAGTTGGAAAATAAGCATGAGTATCATACCTGGCTCTTATTGGGAAGTTCTGAGCTATGTCTTTCATTACCTTTAAGGCATCATAAACAGGAGTAGACATAATTCGAGCAGCTGCTTGAAAACTAAGATCTAGATTAAAAAAACAAAACAAACACTGGAAATACCTCTTAAAATCAATATTGTCTACAAGCAGAAAAACTGTTCCATATAMACTCTCATTCTTAGATATGTTTTGTTTCAATTATACATTAGCGTATATGAAGTATAACTTTGGAAAGAGACCCATTGTGTTTATACACCAATATAAYGAAGCAGAGTTAAACAGAATGAGGTACCAACTCAGAAAGAAAARATACCTACCCTGTAGCTCCCACACCTTCAGAGGCTCCATGTTGTTAGTGGTTTCAATTAGATGTTTTCTGAACTCTTTCAGATTATTTTTCAGATTGGGATGCATTTGTCTACACCAAAACATGCAAAAAAACAGGGACAAAATCAATGATATCCATCAGAGTCTGCTTACCCACAGTATTGATTACAGTTAAAATTGTACCTTTATRGTAACAAACATGAATTAAAATTTCAATTGTCTTCTTGAAAGATGAAGATTTGGGGTGCACAGAGAGACCATAATAGTATCCCAGGAAGGACTAAGCACTTGCTGTTTTCACGCAGGAGTTCTGTTGTTTTCTGGCCTGTGTGAGACYCTTTTTTAAATTTAAATTTTATTTATTTTTGTTTATTTTGATGCAATAAATGAATCGAAAGCCTCAATAATATTAACACATGCTATAGATAGCTGTATAGTTAGTGAAATATAGCACCATATGCAGTTAGTTACATATTAACTGTCACTATAAAGTTATAACGATCCAGTTGCATTGTGGTTTTACTGCCACTACAAGCCAAGGTTTGCAGGGAGAGAGAAGATCTTTATTATTGCTGATAAAATCAAGCTACTGATCACACAAATCACTACTCAGACATAAAGGAGCGTGTGATGCCCAAAAGCTTGTCTATTTTTTTCCAAAACAYGACTTGGGTTTTGAGCACAAAGACTTCAGCCTGTGACAAGACACTCTCCACCTGGAAACATTCTCCATTAGATTTCTGAAGACTCTTCTACTGAAGATTTAGAGTAAGAAGCAAAAATCGTTTTAAATCCAGACATCTAAAGCACTGAGACTTTTATTTCTGTGATATATTTCATTACAGGTATTGGAAAGTCTCATGAGGCCTCCCTCTCCCCCTTTCATTTGATAGCTGTTGGATGATATTAACAGTTGCCCTTTACAGAAAAAGAAAATAAATCACCGCTGGAGAAAAGAGCTGTTGCTTTTGTGATTAAAATGCAGTCCAGTCTGCTGGAAGTTTGGCTGAAATGGGAGTCCTGGTTCATATTCTCATGTGTGGATCTGTTACAGTGGGAGGGAGGCTGTGCTGCTGACTGCAGCCWCGAAGGGAATGCGGCAGCAGCACATGGGGGGCAGCCTGTGCTCTCCACAGGGTTGCAACTGGATGGAATCATCCACCACTTGGACCAACACACTGCAACTGAGAGGTGCAAGAGCTCCCGCCAGGCCACAGATTCATGAACTCCAAAATATGACGACATTTCTTTCAAGAAACATCCTTTAACCCTTAGACATGAAGGACTCTGCTTCTTAAAAACACCCTGGGGGGCTGCAATACCTGGTTTGGGATTTGTTAGGCTGTGATGTGCATTTTGAAAACGAACATTTTGATTCTCATCAGCTGAAAACAAGAGATGTAACAGCTGTTTGCTGTAGAATATCATATTTTCATATTCATATCTAAATTTTTGGGTAACTTTTAACTCCAGAATCAGTTTATTGTATAGATTCCAAAAGAATTAGAACTCTAAAAGCAATAAACAGGAAAGCTCAGAATAAGCTTTTTGCCATCTTTTTGCTCGCAAGGCACATACACACATGGGCAACCCTGAACTTTAACCTATGGCAAACCAAATTATTGCCAAATATCACTTTTTATATAAAATGATTTTTATTTTTTGTTTCAGGCACAAAACTTTTATGTCAACTCACCTCAATCTGCCAAAGAGAAATCCTTGGACATCACTTTCCTCCTCCTCCTCCTCATTTTCCACTTCTGAAGTGTCATTTGCTCCTGAATAYGCAACATACAGATAATAATATAAAGCAAGCAAATTAGTAATGTATTATGTTCTTACAAATTACAAAATAATCCAAAAGTTGTCATGTCTGGCTGTAATTTCTATTAGATTTAGATATGTCCATTCATATTTTGGCACCAGAATGAATCACTTTACAGAAATTACATTCAAATCAATTTTGCAYGGAATTCATCTAATGTACACATTTCCAATGGAAATGAAAATATTTTAAATAGTCCCTCAAAACTGTCCTTTCTCAGTTTGAGCAAACACTAACGTATAATGTTTATCGAGTGAGTAACACCAGATTTAGGCTGACTTTAAAAAACAGGCTGATTTTACACCTCTTGAATCCCCAGCCAGCACTTGATGCGATCTGTTTCTCACCCTTAAAATGAACTTGTTGTGGCTCAGCAGCACTAGCCGCACSAAAACCAACACGAGGGTTATCTGTAACTTACTATAAGCCTTGTGAATCTTCTTGGAAAGTAATTACTCTCTGTCAGACCGCTGCAGCTACTACCTTCTGCAGCGTATGTCTCATTTCAGGACATCATAACAGAGAGTGGTACCAAATTCTATACCCCAGTACATCGGTTCCAGAGAAGAACGTGCAAGTATAGAAACACACACAAAAATAATGTGCAGATACTGCGCTAATTAATATATTAGAGATGCCAACTGACACAAAGTAATTGAAGAAGTAAGGTTAGACACGCACGATCCTATATCTATCGAAAAAAGAAGGGATTATTTTGAAGTACAGCTACAGATAATAATTAAGTAATGAACTAAATCTTCAGCACAGCTGTTCACAGATGCTCCCATGCATTTTCATGTGTTAGCTCTTCATGTTTTTTAACAACGTGTATAAAATGTAGTTAAGTATGACCTTCAAAACATGACTGGTTTTATAAGGGAAAATGATAACAGGCTTTTAGTATCCAATGAGATATCAAAAATAAATAAAAACATACCTTTAACCTGTGTGTCATCTACTGCTTTATATTCTGTGCTCTTTATGGCAAGTTCTACACCATAGCCAGATAAATACATTTTTCTGGATTTTGGTTTCTGCTTGATGACATTATTGTAACAAAAGAAAAAAATGTAAATTAGAAAACTGCATTTAAAGAAGATTAACAATATCTAATATATTAAGTTTAGATGTTATGAGAGCTTTAATTAAACTGATTTTTCAACTTATGAATCAAAGTACAAAATACTCTATCAAATGAAATACATAGGAAGAGTCACATAAGTCACAGTGCTATTACACCATTAAATCATCAAACCATTAAGAATGTGTGTGACAAAAAAAAGCCATTCTGAAGATGGTACGGAAATCATGTTGAAACAGTAGGCCCTTCACATAATATTAAAAGAAGGACTTGAATAGGCAGAGCTGGTAGTACCCTATGCAATTAATGATGCCTTATAATTCCCACTTTCACATCTTTTTCATTTCCTTGTAACTTCGTCAGAGTGCAGCATTTCAGGAGGAAATTCTCTATTTTTGAAAAGCCTTAAGGTTTCTTTGAGGAACATTAAGAAAATGTATTAAAATTTCACTGCTAAAAACACCTCAAGTCTTTAAAAAGGAGCACAAGTGTTGCCAGTTTTTGCCTGGAAGTTTGACATTCAGCAGGGTAACAAGTGCTTGGGGCAGACTTGAGAACACACCCAAAATTGCCCAAAACGTACATGAATCTCCATTCCAAAACGCAGCTTGCACACGCACAGCAGCAATTTCTTGGAAGCCTTTCAGGTTTGAGCTGGCTATTTCTCAGACGCTCTGTGTACTGAGACTCCTGGAGTCTGAGATGGAAACCCAGCAGAGCTGGGGGTTTCTCTATGGGTCTGCCCAGCCCATCGGGGCGCAGAGCGACCAGGGCCTCTTCTGAGCAAGCTCAAGGGTCTAGCAAAGACCAAGGGACAGCAGCAGGACTATCCCTCTTCTGCTCTCCATGCTCCCTCTTCTGGCATTTAGTGAACAGAGAAGAGAACAAAACCCTTTGGGAACCACAGGAATGAAATGGAGGTTGTGAGGAAGGAGGGAAAAAAGGGAAGAGCATTTAAAGAGGGAGAATGCAGGGAAGAAGACAGCAAGCATTTTGGGAGACCGTGACAAATGGTAGTAACAGCAGCAGTAAAAACATGGAGACAGCTAAAGGGAAGAAAATAAAAGTGCAGAAAGACGGGTAGGATGATGACACCCCTACAGAATCCAGGATTTCCCTGGAATGCCGGCTCCACGTGACACACGGCAGCAGCAGCAGGAGGTGGCTGCATCCGCACGTGCCGTCCTGGTGGCCCCACTTGCAGTATCTTAAAATCTGCTACAACACATGAAACTTCTCAGCTTCAAAGTTTGTATTAGGTCATTCAAATCATCTAAAAGTTTTAAAATTAGAATATGTATTATATGTGATTTAGACAAACGCATTAATAGTAAGAAAAGATACAATACTAGCAAGTCACTGAAGCAATGTCAATTAGAATTGCCTACCTGTACATAATGACGGAGAACATAAACAATTTCCTCCTTTTGTGCCTTTTCAGATAAAATCTTGTGGAATTTAGCAAAGTCTTTTGTACCCATTTCTGCATAAAGAAGCACCACTGGACCATTCTCTTTGAGAGTTGGGAATATGTGGTCTCCCTTAAAAAGATAAGGCCTGGGTCTGGATTTAAAAACAAATTATTGTGATAGATATTCAGAAATGAAGTAAAAACAGCAACAGTTTTCTATTTCATATTGAAAAGTTATCAAAGATGCAGATGTTGAAAGTGTATAAGTTGTGTTATAATTCCCACAAAATTGTCATGATTGTTCACAAAAGATCATGCAACATCGATTGTTAAAGTCTAGTAAACTCAAAAATCAGCCCATACTATAAACGATTTTAATATATTTTATCAAATCACAACAAAAAGAGCCAAATCAAAAGCATGGAGCCTTGAGATTTTGTGCAACAGTCTGTTACGATTAAAACCTTTTGACTATGATGCATTATGACCAGAGTGCAGAGCAATCAGTGAAAAACAGAGCAGCAGAGCAGTATTCACTGAAGTTTGACAAAGCTGCCAACACACATGAAAACTAATCCGATTTTGCTTCTCCACCACCGTCAAGCTCTGTTAATTTAGCTAATTTTTGCTAATTTTGATTGCCACTTATCCTCTTCATTCAAACTCATGCCTGTAGAAAAGCTGTGCTTGCTACGCCTGCAATAAATCCTTAGATAATGGCAAACATGTTTGGAATAAAACTCTGGGAAAGAGAAAAAAACAGCAGACAACATGGATGAAGTGTCACTTGTCAATAAGGACATTTCTTTTTCAAGATGGCCTTTGCACAGTTGCACTTGAAGAGCAGTAACCTCCCCTCAAGCCTCTCCAGGACAAGCTGAGCCATTCATTCTAACCCGGCACCCACTGCAGAAATGTGCATACAGCAGCTAGATGCTTGTTGAAAAACCACATGGGAAAGCTGTGAGCAGAACTCCATAATCCACAGTTTCTGCCATGCAAGTCTTAAGAGCATCTTCACTATAAAATCACAGAATAATTTAGATTGGAAGAGAACTTTGGAGGTAGCTGCTCCACAAAACGGGGCCATGTTAGATAAGGATGCTCAGGGCCTGAACATCATCATCCTAGGTAAGTTTAAGAGGAATGCAGAGACCATATGTGCAAGAAAGACAGGCCATGAGGACAGGCCTGGTTTGAAAATGCTTTGGTGCCTGCAACCATGCGCCAAGGAAAGCCCAGGCAAGCTCGTATAGGAAGCGCGCTCTAAGTTAAACTTGACTACCCCATACAAAAATAAATAAATAAAACTCAAAATAATGCATTTGGTTAGGGGAGGAAAGCAGTATGATTTTAATTTCTTATTTGATTCACCATTGATGAATTCTCATAACAGTGTTTAAAGTATATCAAAAATAATAATTCTTTTAACATAAATTTTAAAGCTGGAGAAAGTTAAATAAAAAAATGAAGAGAGCTTGGTAAAACTAAGCATGGAGAAATTAAAAATATTTTTTCTCTTAAAATAGTTCACTATACCTACCGCTTAATGGCCTTCTTCAGAAGCTTTTTTATTTCATTGGTTTTACAGGTGTGTTTCTCATGGATCACCACAAATGCACTGCAGCCTTCTGGTGCAGGTTCATCAGCTGCAATCTAGTATTTCAACAATTACACTCAGTCAGGCTGCTCTGATTGCAACTTAAACACACATTCCTTTGATTAAAATAACTCCACAGCTGCCACTGAGGTGTGTTTCTAATTAAACCTACTCAAAAATGGGTATATATGGAAAAAAAAGTAAAGGAAAAGATTAAAAGATTGTGACCTTACAAGCTTTAGTGAGCTGCAGCCTATCAAATGCATAGCCCAGGAAATGCAAGTCCATTAATATTTTGTAGACAAGGCTAAGAAATCTCATCCACAAGCTGAAATCACAAAATGCCCTACAAGAAACTTTTAATTACTATTTGCAATCACATACAAAGATGTGGCTACCCAATAAATCCAATAAATATTTCACATTCCTTTTTGATTCTTCCTCCGCATTGTTTTTCTTGGGCTCTTTTAGAGCCCTGTTGAGCTATTCCCAAATAAGGATTTCACTGTGATGCCTCATCTCTTTTTCTTAAACACGGCAATGATTCTGTACTCACAAGCAGGAGGAGGATAATGAACAGATTTGATTCCGAGGTGGGCATATTCCACCAGAAAACACTTGCAAAAACCCAAAAGCTGATTCTCAGAGYGTAAGGCCTCGCTCAAAACCAGATTTCCCTCTTCCCCTTGAAAGCTGCACTGCTGAGAGGAAGCGCAGCTTTAGGCCAAGAGCCCAGCCCAGTTATGTCCTCCCGCTTCGTCATCCGCAGCAGAGCAGATTTTTGACYACTTTATCTTCCAGCTTCTGCAATGTTAGAATGATGTGAATGAATGACGGGAACTCCACTAAATAACAAACTAATTGCTTTGAAACTGCGGGAAATTTTCTGCTTCAGAAATGTCTGTGTTCCCATAAAGTTATTTAAAAAAAAAAATTAAAAATCTGAACTTTAAGATGGAAGGATTGCAAAAAGTACCTAACCTGAAAATACAGCTATCCATGCAATTAAATAATGAAAATTACTTACCCTGAAACCAAAATTCAACATAAAATCACATACCAAATACATAATATACACACCTGTTGAAACATCTGAACAGTTGGAGAATACGCTCTTATGGAAAGTGCAAACTTCAATAGGTTGACCTGCAAATTGGATAAAAATTGTCCTGCTTTCTTCAAAATTAAATTGTAGTAAGAATGCTCTGAATCTGTTAATAAAAAAAAAAAAGATAAACTTCTAGTATATAGCCACAGATGATTTCTATGCTACATAATAAGGAAATATGTTAGTTTTGGTATGCAGTCTGAAGGTTTTGAATAGTGCCAATAGTTTCCTTTACTACTACATATAAAAGCCTAATGCCAATGTAACACAAAAGCACAAAACCTTTCAACTATAGAAAAAAWAAAGGACTCAGGATAACAACACTTCGCTGCAGACTCGAATGTACTTTATTCATTACTTTTTATTTTTCTAGCAGATGTTAGTCTTTTATCACAAAATCTGATTTTTATTTCTTTTTATGATYTCTTCACATTTAGTCTCGAGACACTCCAGCCAAGCCGCTTCTGTAAAAATATTCTAATGGCAACACCCCTCGAKCTAGTCTTGTAGATCCTATTTCTCACCTAAAGGTGCACGCTAAACACGAGCATGAGAAGCAATTAATACATGACATGGTTCCCCACAGCCACATAAAACCTTCTCAAGGCCAAAGTAAGGACCCCAAGTGAGAAGGGAAGGTGGATGGTGCCTGGGAACGATAGAGGTGATTGGGAAGAACTTTGGTTGGAAGTAACCTCCATTGTTTTTCTTCCAGTGGAATAAACCAGAGGCTGTTTTCACACTTTATCTCACACTTAYACTGCACRCATCAGGCCAAACGATTTCCTCCTTACCTTGTTTCCTTTCCGAGTATTGCAGGAAACTGTCACACCTTTTGCTCCTCTTCACTTCAGCAAGTAACTTTTTCTCTAGGAATATCTTCCTAGTATTGCGGTATGGAAACTAGTTTTCTGAACTACCTTTTCTCCTTCTGTTTGCCTTATCACTGGCACTTCTTTTGATGTACAATTAACATAATTGAGAACTTCCTCTCCTCTCTTGTTCCTTCCTATCACCTTTTCTTGTTCTTAAAATCTCTACGGTCTCCTTTCTGCCTTTTCCTCCTTCTTAAAATGCATTATTTACTATAGCTGAGTCTCCTGTAAGTCACCAGAAAAAAATAAAAATAAATGCTAAGATTACAAAAGGGCACAATCTACATCTCCAGGAAGCYGCCCTCCTGTAAATTGTATGCATTCATCACTGTCTTACACTGAATTCTCAGGACAAAAAACAGTTCTTTGTTTTCTACGGCTACCCAAAGCTCTGGCRTGATTGATACTTGGCTTCACAGGTTTCAGGCAGTGAATGTCAAAAATCCATAAATAGCAAATACTTCCAGAGTGAAATGTCTTCCCACTTTATTTTCCTATATTCTTCACATTAACTCCACCAAAATTAAAATTCCATTTGAAATTTTGTATCTCTCAACTCAGCTGCAAATAACTCTCTCATGGACACAATGAAGAGTTTCAAAACATGTAATTCTGAATATACTATCTTAATAAAACATTTTCACAAGTCTCTACATTTTTTGGCTTACATATTCCTACTGTGCTTTCAGTGCTGCCTATAAAAGAGGTGGACTTTTTTATCTGGAGAATGACTAATGCAATGATGATTTAAYAGGTAAAGTAAAAAATTAAAGAGTATTTTTAATGTGGTTTCAAAATAACTGCGCCACACCTTGACAAGGCTACATTTTCAGATCATTTCTACTACTACAACCTACACTATTAGTTTTGGCTTCATTCAGACTGACTCCTCTTCAAAGCTTCAGCAAGAGGAACTGAACCACATCCAATGGCAAATGATGCAGCTCCCCCAAGGGCACTGTGCAGGTTTGGTACACGCAGAACCACAGGGAATTGCTGGAGCAGCACAGCACCGTGGCAGTGGTTCCTTGACACCCGCTGGCTGCTTTCTCACCCGCCGGGCACGTTTGCGCAAGGCACTTGACGCCAAAGGGCAAAATAATGACATACTTTTGGGATGTTGCATGGAATGAAAGACAAACAGCTGTTTCTGTTCAYAAAATGCTGCATGCTGGCATATTATTACCAAAGTCATTAATAAAGTTGATTAATAAGTAAATGAGAGACCACGTAGCTCCAAATTTCAGAYGTCTAAATACACAGATGCAAAAGCAAGCTATAAGAATTCATARACTTCCATTTTAACCTACAAATTACAGTAAAATAGGCAGCAGAACCTGAGAAGCTGTTTAGGTGACACTTCRGAAGATACCTAAATTTGTGAGATGAGCAGATGAACTGCCTAGGCTCCTGTGGCTGAGCTGAGCAGGCTTCCATCAACTCCACACCTGAAATAGCTGGCTAGGTAGGCCCATATTTAAGCATCTACATTTAGGGTCTGCAATCCAGAGCTGTAGCTCGTATCACAGGTGTATTAAAAAAAAAAAAAAAAAAAAAAAAAAAAAAAAAAAAAAAAAAAAAAAAAGATGAAAAGACCAGAACAGTCACAAAAGGAAAATGATTTATTGCAGCTTCTCAAAAGCTACTCCAGTAAACACATGCAGCACAAAGTGAATCTGAGTATGTGCAGATGCCCTGTAGAAAAACTCAAACACCAAAGCCCAAGAGGTACAGAGAGTAAACTCTGCTGCCTTCTGCCCAAAAAATAAATCTGTTCAATGATCTATGACACAAATAGTGTACAAAAAACGTAAGACTCACATTTTGCAGCCCAAGACTCTGTTGCACTATATTAAATCAGGAAACAATGGCTCAAACAACCCCTGCTCAAACAGTCAAAGCCCCAAGATACATAAGAAAGAGCAGTATAGACAAAATGATTTATTTTATTACATGCTTATCATAAAAACTTCTCAAGCTTTCTATGCATGATAAGCTTATCATGCTTATCATAGATTTAAGAGTTTTGCAAGCATTGCATTTTTCTCTAACATTGATATTTGCATAATAAAAATATATATAACCTAGCTGTGGGTAATCCTTAGCCTACACAGTATGTGCTGAGTAGTCTTCTAAATCTACAGTAAATAATTCGCATGACTGTTGTTTATAAGTTATACAATGTGTTACTTTTTTGATTTTTAACCAGAGAAAATAGCTTCCCTACGAATACTGAACTGCTGGAGTGACACAGCTACCAAGAGGTGTGTAGCAGCTCAGACACAAGCTGAAAGTGGTTCTTTGGGAGCCATGTGGCAGTCCCTGCCTTGGACTGCTACACGTTAGAGGACAGCGATATAGAGGAATGCACACGACCTACCAAGGCTGAATAGGCCAAGAGCTTTTGGCCTATTGCTGGGCCCATTTGGGAAAAGCCAGGCTCCACAAAAGAGCTCCCCTCATCCTTCTCCAGGCAGAAAAAAAMCAAAATTCTCAGCCTTTGAAGACCCCTTCCCTGGACTTGCTTGCTACTCTCTTGCCCATTCAGCCTAGCAGGTGGTTGCCCTTCATTACCTTCTGGCGTGTCTGGCACTTGGGTTCCCAGCATCCTGCTGCTGACCAGGCTGCCCAAAGCTGTTTCTCCAGAACCACCTGCTAGCGGGTCCATGTCCAGCACACACTGCTGTAGAGGCTATTCTGGTCCATGTGCTCGAGCCTCCAGGTACCTCTGAACTTCCTCACGTTTGCCAGCCCCCCTCTCTCTCATCTGCCAAGGTCTCTCAGATGGCAGTCCCACCTCAGCATCTCAACTTGTCCCTTGAGTCTTTCAAGGTTTTGTCAAGGGTGCAACCTCACCAACATTTAAGACATCAATAAATAAATAAAATCAAGTAACACTGGCCACAGTACTGACCCCTGACAAATGCTGCCAGGAGCCAGTCACTGGGAAGCTCTGGGGCCTGTTTCTGGTTTGCACATTCTCACTGTTTCACATGGAGGGGCTGTGAACCCCATTCTCTGTGGCTGTGTCTGCGCTCTCTYGTTTAAGCTTATGATCTCAGCCTATTCCCAGGTTTCATTAGCTTGTTAGTTTTACATATTTATATACTGTTTCCCATATTTTGTATCATGCTATTAAGCCTGAAAAGTGTACTATCATCAACTACATTACACGCACACACATTCYTATTTATTTATTCAATCTTAGGTAACTAACCTCACTTAACATTTACTGGTTTGTTTTGCYGAGAATCTTCCCCAAAGTGCTGTTAATGGAAGATAAATCACATCTTCCACTGCCTCTTCCCCTGGTTCCAAAGCTGCCTTGTACATACATGCTGCATGCATGTTAGYAGCTGAACACATCCCTATCTATAACCCTTGCAAAGTTTAGCACCAACAAAATAGGATCCCAACAGTTAACATTTGACTTCAAGTATCTTCTAGTGAAAGGTCATTTTGAAAACACTTCCCTTGCTCATACCTAAGGAATGGTGCTGTTCTGCAGGGAAAAACAAATGAAACCACCTTACCTTGTTTTGAACTTCTTTTTCTACCTGGACCTATTTGTTAGGTCAACAGATGGCCAAATTTCAAAGTTGTTCAAGACCCTAGCAGGCCTGCAAAATCTTTTTATTATAACTTCAGTTAGCTGCTAAAATATTTTCTAGGGTGACCCTTTGAATTTCATGTTTGCTACATTTTATTTTTCTTTCCAAACTTTCTTTTCAAACTTCTACCATGTTTCAGTATTTTGTTGTCTAATYATGCAGGTTTCATCTCCATCTTTCTGATGGAGATAAATGCTTATTCTTAGACATTAGCACTGCTGCTAAAAACAGTCTTTTTATTACTTAGACATATGAAATCAGTTTTTTTTTTCTTTTTAATTCTACTTCTCATTTTTCTTTAGGTGGCATTCTCATTTTCATGCCATTCCTTTTAGCTATTTGTGGTAATTTTCTTGGATTCTCCCATCTACAAACATTCCTCTGCAGAAAACATCAAGCCTGCATGTTGCATAAACTCCTGCTGAGTCACGAGAGGAGGGAGGCAGGGAGCTCTAATCTTCACACTGCTGCTGCATCCTGTAACAGCAGCTCAGCCCATTAATTCCATGCTATTGCTCCCATCTATAGAGAGAAACCCCACAAGGAGCTTTGTGAAAGGCAAGATGCAGTGAGCAGTAGAGGAACAGTTAGGCTTTCCCCAACTGCAAYAAACTAACGCGTGAGCTTAGCTTTAAAAGGAAAGTAATATCCCGTACAAGAGAATAGATTAAAACTAGCATGCTTTTATTAACTTACCTCTTTGCTTATAAATTGTTAATTCCCGTACAGTTTCCAAGAACTGCCAAAACTTCTCATTACCATCTTCTGCAATAAATTCACTGTTTAAGAAATAAAAATGAATTGTCCATATATTGACTTTGTTCAAGTGTGTGTCACAATAAAAATCCTCAATTGTTTAAAACAAAACAGCAAAAACCAAGTATTCAATTATCATCTAACATCTTTGCAGAATAATACACTGAATCCTGGTATAAATATAAGTTGGTTAAATGAAAAGAAGTTTAGAATATTACTAGTTTGAACTCGGCAGTCAGAGCTGTAAAGCCAGTGGAATACTCTCTGAAAGTCAAATAAACACAAGCATGTTGTTCGCTTTATTTTTTCACATATATAYGAATATACAGTTATCTATAAAACCAATTAAGTACAGATTTAGCAACTAATACACAATAAGAACACAGAATTCATCAGGATATACTTTTTAATTAAATTACAGAATTCCATAAATGACAGTGAGTGCTTAGAGAAACTGTGGAGAAGTCCTAAYCTGCAGAATACTTTCAAAGGCAGTTTAATCATTACCAACACTAAACAAGCAGGGAGGCAGCTTTTGCTTTATTTTAAATGCTGTTTTCCTTTCARCTCAGCGGTAGCACACTTCCACTTTGTTGTTACTAACGCAGCCGTCTCCCCATCTGCCAAGAACTACTTGCTAGCCTGCCTGCCCTGTTCCCTAACCTTTACTTTGAAAGCTTTCCAGTCCTCTGATTACAGAAGCTTTAAATTCTCCCATTCAGGGCAGTTCTGTGTACAGCAACAAAGAGTCAAAAATGGCATACTGGAAAGCACCTTTGSTATACATTTTATGATGAAAAGTGAACAGCGAAGTGAATAGTCTAATTTTAAAGACGTGTTTCACCACTAGAGCTACACACCAGACYGATTCCTTTATAGATTAGTGTAGTATCAGGCGAGAGGAAGAGACACAGCCACCGGTACCGGGTAGGCTTGGCGCAGTCCGGCAGTCCCCAGCCTAACCCGCAAAACGGCTCAGCAGGACAAACAAATACAAAGTAATTTAAGAGGTGCACTGCAAACGCGSCACAGCCACCATACCATAGGCGACTTTATAAAGAAAGAGAAGTAAATACAGACATACAGCGGCATGGCTAAGGGGCACCGAGAGGACACGCACTGAGGAGCRGGGTCGCCGCCCCCTCCTCCTGCCCCTCACAGGGGTGGCCCCGTGTCTCCGGTTACCAGGCAGGGCTGGGGGAGGCCGCCGCTCTCCTCCCCTCCCCTCCCCTCCCCGGCCTAACGGCCGCGCGGCCCTCGGCGGCGCTCGGGGGAGAGGCTGCACGCACGCACCTCGCCTCCAGCAGCAGCGGGGTCGCGGGCCAC